TGAAGGTGGGATACCGTATCTTGTCTATGTCCCTGGCGAGATTTTCGACGTTATTGGCATGAAGGGCGAGCTGTGGCTTGCTCGCAATCAAGACGATGCCACAAAGACTGTGGGATGGATTTGGGAAAAGCATTTCGCTCGCATTCTGCCCGAAGATGCATAGTTGATGGCCTTTGGAGAGTGAGCCCTTCTTTCTGAGATGGAAAAAGGTGTTCCTAATTCTGGGTCGTGCGCGGTGGGTTGGAGGGCGTTCTGGTGAAGACTGGGGGCTCGCCGAACTGGCGTCGGCCTCTTTTTCTTGCTTTGCCGCTGTCTCTGTCTTCCCTCCCTTTTCGTTGTTCTCTCTCTCTCATGTGATTCCCCAATCTTTTTTGCTTGTCGTCTCACCGAATCTAAAACCAAAGAGTTTTTGTTTTAACCACCTTCGAAACGCGACGAGGGATCTAGGGCTGGCGTACAGGATTTGGGGGATTGGGGCAACTTCTACCATTCCAAGCCGAATGGCGCATTGCTGGCGTCTCTTTTTTCTCTTTATTTGTCCCCCCCTCAAACACTTCCTTGTATGTATTTACGAGAAGATGATTTTTCCTCTTTCTTTTTTATTCTCCCCTTAGCTCTTTTTTTTGAGAAAAAGATGTCGACCCTGCACATGGCCTGTTTTTTCACGGTTTCGACGTGCAAAGTGTCTATCTTTTTCTTTTTAATATTTCCTTTTTCGGCTTATTGGGGCAAATATCGTGGGGCTCGTTTTGTTTTGCTTTTCTTGCGCCAATACCTCGTCGCACAAGTGTATAAATATCAATCAAAAGACTCATGATGCATTTTGGCTCTGAATGAAAAAAGGTTTGTTTACTACATCCATCAACTGTTTTTTCTTCTTCTGTGTTTTTGGTGGGAAGGGTTTGCAGGAGCGATGTGATTGGCGTAGCATGATCTAAGTTCAGGTCTAGCATAATATGTAAAAAAACTCTACTCTTCCATTTCTGATCCACTCTCGCTGTCGCCATCTTCGCTTCCAGAACCGTCTTCATCGTCGTCCTCATCGTCGTCCTCATCACCCTCCAGACCATATGCATCTTGGAAGTCCGTGAGCTGCTTGAGCTGAATCTTGAATCCCGCATCTTCGAAATCCTTCTTCAGACCCTGATGTAGAGAAAAACAAAAAAAGTTAGCACATGTTCTTTATGGACGGAACGAGGAGGGGGGAAGAAAAGGAAAAAAAAAGTTACTCACATCAGTCATGATGCCACCACACGTCACCACCAAATCCGTCTTTTGGGGCTCAAACACCTTGGCCACGACTTCTTGCAGAATCTTCTGCACATCCCCTTCCGTCACCTTGCGCACCTCGCGCAGCGCCCACTCCTGCCAGTCCTTGCCCACACCCCTCGTCACGAGATCAATAAACGAGCTACGCGCCGCATCCACAATCGTCGCTCGCTCATCTACAAAGTCGCGAACAATGCTCGAGATGGCGCCCTCAAGCTCGAGCTTATTCAGCTTCTGCGTGCCGTCACCGTACTCCTTCACTACAGTCTTTGCCTTGTTGTACGCGGCGAATACGTTCGGCGACTTGGAGATGCGGAACTTGAGCAGGCCTGTCTCTGGGTCGCGGAAGAAGTTGCTGCCGTAGGCGAGACCGGTGCCGCGGATGGACTGCCACATAGGGCCTTCGACTGCGTCGAGGTATGCGAGTGCGACCATCAAGGGAGGGAGCTGGGGGTTCGTGTAGCCTTGTGGTCCCTTGGCTGTTAGGACGGCAAAGGACGAGTCGATGGGCATGGGGATGATGTAGTGTGTGCCGCCTGGGTTACGTCCGACGTCTGAGAGGAGGGCATTTCTGTCGTCAATTGGGTTGATGGTGGGTTCAGGTCCTGGTTGAAATGCGTCGGTGAGGTGCTTGAATGTTGAGACTGGATTTGGTAACGTCTCGACGTTTGCGGTTACCAGAATGCGCATGTTAGAAAACGTCAGTAGGTGCTTGCGTAGAGCTTCGAGTTTGTCAAGAACCTGTTGTGGCTCGGTCTTTAGGAGCTTTAGAATACGCTTGAGATATAGTCCCTTGACGAGTGTGCCGGTTGCGCGGACAGCTGATGCGGCGTCGTAGTGAATCATGCGGTCGACTGCAAAGCTCATGGCATTGCCGTCACGCTTCTCTTCAGGCACATCAGCCAGCATCTTCTTCACAGCAGAGATGACGCGCTCAGTGTCGAATATGGAGTCCACCAACATGGACCTTAGCCACAGTACGACTGTCTCGAATTTATCGGCTTCCGCGACGAAAGGAATGTAGATCATCTCGGAGCTTCCAATGTCTGTACCACGATCCATCGAGTACTCAATGGTATCCTGCTCCAGCTTGGTGATGACTTCTTCAAATTCTATGCGCTTACCGTCCTTCATGATTGGGGTGGTGAAGAAATTGGTAAGGTAGACTCCAAGCAGAGGCTTCAGTTCAGTCGGTAGGCTGGCAGTACCCAGTGCCAATCCAAAGTGTACAAAAGACGTCGGTATGTGCTCAAAGTGGATGAACAGAGGAAGACCATTCTCGTCCCTGTCCACAATCTTCTGAATTGGATTGTCTGAGACACCAAGCTTCTTTGCCAATCCAGACCGTGCTGTAGTGGTTTGGAAGAAGTGAATGGACTCAGTGCTTGGAACCTGCACACCTGCAATTATCTCCTCTGGAATAGGCCTGTCGTTTTCTTCCTGAGCCTCTTTGAGCTTCTGTGTCAATTTCTTCAGTCCCTCTTCGCCTAGCTTTTCCTGTTGTGCTTTGACGCGTGCAACCTCATCGGCTTTGATCTTGTCGGATAGAGCTTTTGAGGGCTTGCCAAGGATGGAGACATGGTGAGCATTCACCATCCACTTGTTCAGATAGGCCCGCCACTCCTCTTCTGTCCACATGTCGAGGATATCAAAAACATCGAGAGTAGCCATTGCGTCTTCGAGATGGGTGCCTTCTCGGTCGCCGAAAACGTGGTCCTTGATAATCGGGTCTTTGTATTCATCCAGACCAATCTCCGACATGTACCGTGTCTGCCTTTTGAAGCGGTGAAGGCAGTCTTTCAGATAGTTCATATCAAGTGGCTTAGAGGCATGTTCTTTGAGGACTTCAAAGAAGCACTTCTCGACGTCGGCGAGCTTACCAGTCTCCACGGATGAGATAGTCCACCAGATGATCATATCATAGTGGCCCTTGCACCAGAAGTAAACCATGCTAGCTAGATGCTCCTTCTCGACAAGCGTGTTGACAAGGACAGATACAGATGAGCCAGCAAGGTAGTTCAGAAGGGTATTGATGGCTGTTTCTCCTAGATCATCGGTAGTTTCTGGGCCCAAGAACGCAATCTGAATCTCTCCTGTAGACTCATCCTCTTCAGGGAATTCTACCGTGTCGACAATGGTCTTGCTTAGTGGAGGTGTACGCGGCGATTCCACCCATGGGCGCTTGAATGGAGCATCGTAGGCCGGCACATGGTCGATGATATCGTCTTCGAAAGTATCTAGAACTTGCAGAAGATTTGGGTGGTCAACTTCTCCTATGATGATCACGCGCAAGTTCTTGGGTTGGTACATGTCTCGATGGAATTGGCGAATCCGTTCTGCGGTTGAGACCCTAAGGTTCTCCATCAAGCCACCAGTCTCCATGCGGAAACCATCACCTTCAGGGTACAAGAGGCGACGCATTTGAAGGTCCATAAGGTCACCCTGCAAGTTCTGTCGCCCTTGCATCTCAGAGTAGACAACACTTAAGATTTTTTAGTAATTTTGTGCTTGATTTGTCAAGGAAACTTACCCCGCATCTTCTCCCTTTCCATCAATGTGGTGAACCTCAGTGTAACAGCCAGCATCGGCCAGTGTAGGAACAATGAGATGGTCAAGGTAGATTGGCAGCAGTTGCGCAAAACCTTCCCAGCCTGCAGTGGAGAGAGTGTATACTGTCTCCGAGACATCCGTCCACGCATTGGTATCCGAGTATGAACGAGTAGCAATCTTGTCCAGCACGCCCTTGAAGGGATACTTGCGTGAGCCCATAAAGCAAAGATGTTCCAGGGTATGTGCTGTCTCTTATCAGGATATGTGTGGAGATGTCGGTTTGATATACTCACGTGCGCCGGAATCATCATGGATCTCTGTGGCTACCGCAAAGTTTCCGTAAACCTTTGGACCTTTTCGATCGACTACGACTGCGCGCAGCCCCGTGCGCTGAGATTCATACTGAGTGAACGTTGCATCAGCATAGTTTGCCTTGAATTGCTGTATCTTTTTGAAATGCGTCTCCTGTGCTACAGAACCCATGGTGGCGAAGTTGAAAGACTGGAGGGTCAATTCAGTAAAGTGGTCGGAGTAGGATTGCTCGGTGGATAGATCACTAGCACAAACCGCCTTGCCTAAATTGGTACTACTATTGTTGTGTTAGTCGATCGTGTGAACAGCTAATGTAATGTCCTAGTCAATATGGGCTACTAGCACTCAGATATGGTTGTAGAGGATAATCAGAAATAGAGTGTTTAGTATACACAAAGAGTGTGTTCAAGATGTTGTAGAGCTCCGGGTTCGTGTCCATGGACTACTTTGTTGCCGAGCCGCGCACGACACTGTGAAGGGAACTTACAGGTAGACGAGATGGAATGAAAGCAAAAGGATGCCACACGAGCAAAGCCAGTGTGAAATAGTGCAGAAAAGCGTGGCAGTGAGGCTCTAATGTACCAGGATTGTTGTCAGCAGTCAAAGAGGCAGCCTGTCAGAAAAAGACCAAGAAGGCAGGGTATGGAGTCAGTTGCCTGCTGCGACAATGTTTGGACGCACGTGTTGGCGGCCTATACGTACAAAGAATAGGCCACACAGTCTTACTAGCGGTGGCGGGGTACGTGTGGCGGGGCAGCGACACCAGGGTTGACGTCGGCCGCATGTCCGTGCAGCTGCAAGTGTTCCATAGCATGACACGCCTCACATCTCTCTCAACACCGAGCATGACAATCGCCTGCTAGCCGCAAATGCCTCCGCAAGTGTCAGACGAGCAGCTAGGCGATGCGCTCCTTCAATCGGCACAGTATGGAGCGTTCCCCCAAGACGAACATGTGGCATCTGCTACTGTGCCATCCACTGCGCTCCCAAAACTGCTAGAAGTAGTTACCAAGGCCCGCGAAGACACCAAAGTATGCGGCGACATGTTACTTCTTCTATGGTTCTGACATTGACTCTTTGCCCCAGAACCAAGTCCGTCAGCTTTCACGAGAGGCCGCACCCGACGTCGACGGTTGGATTACCCAGGCACGCAAGCTCCAACATGATATCAAACGCTCTCAAGATACGGCCAAGGAAATTGTACAGCTAGCAGAAGCAGGCAAAGAGAACATGGCACGCGTACAGGATGCCGCAAGCAAGGTCAGCCTGTTGCACACCGAGATTGCGTACAACGAGAGCCTGGTACAGACAGTGGAACAACTGCGAGACATATCTACTTTGCTAGACTCGGCTCAGAATGCGGCGGTAAACGGTCATATCCTCCACGCCATCAGCACCCTGGAAGATGCAGACGACGCCTTCAAGAGACTCGGTCCCTTCATGACGACGAGAGTAGTGGGTGTCCTCAGAAATAAGCAAGAGCAGCTAAAGAAGGCCCTCATAGAGACTATCATAGAATCTTGGAGCGGACTAATATCAGTTGACCGCGCCAGCCATAAGATTTCGCTGCACCAATTGATCGAACGAGAAGCCAAAGTTGATATCAATACAACCGTCGAAGCCCTCGTAAAGCTTGGCTTCCTTGACAACCTAATCGTCCGCTTGAGTCGCGACATCGATAAAACCATAATTGCCCCCCGTCTTGCCATGGGCGCCGACCGCGTTGTATCCTCATTCGAGGTTCACGGGGACGATATACAACGCGCAGGTCCAGTAAACGATGGAAGTATCAAGACAACAATAGGAGACATTCAGACCATTGCAGAGTATCTAAACACACGGTTACCACCCTCTATTGTTATCCCGCTATCACACAAGATCGTTCCAATCATCGCGTCCCGTCTAATATCAAATCATCTTTTGCCTGCCATACCGCTTTCAACAGAGGGCATCCCTGAATTTCAAGAGTCGCTATCTTATGTCTTGGGGCTTGTGGAATTCCTGGATGAGCTGGGGTGGTCGGGTCAGAGCCGTCTAACAGAGTGGGTCGACAAGTCCCCCGAATTCTGGCTAGCCAGGCAAAAGGAAGCCGCCATTGCCCAAGTCCAAGTCATGATTCCGAAAAAGGTACTAGAGAAAAAGACCGTGGAGAGGGTTGAGACGCAAATCGTATCCAAGGGAGATGCCTTACACGCTGGTGATGACCAAGAAGATGACTGGGCTGCAGATTGGGATGGTGAGGGCGAGGATGAGACCACTAAGGAGCAAACAATATCGGTAGAAGAAGAGGACATGAGTGCTTGGGGTGATGAAGTTGACATACCGGATGAGGAGCCCAAGGAAGAAGTTTCTAAGGAGAAGCCCTCCGATGTTGAAGATGCCGAAGATTGGGGTGCGGATTGGGACGACGAAATCGATACTAAGCCAACTACCACGTCAAATCCCACAGCTAAAGCACCAGAATCACCGAATTCAAAAAAGAAATCAGCCCAGCAAAAGGCGCCCACGGATCAAAAGGTCACACTGCGAGAAACATACACCGTGACAGCAATCCCTGACGCAATCATGGATATCATTTTGCAGGTTCTTAGAGATGTAGACGCTCTCAATTCGGCCGATCTTGTCAAATCAGCCATTTCACCTGCAAGTGGAGGCTTGTACGCAATACCAAGTCTACTGCTTGCAATGTATCGAGCCACCGCCGCTATGCATTACTCCAAGGACATTGCGAGTAACATGCTCATCTACAATGACTGTCAGCGCCTATCAGATCGGCTGAGGCTCTTCTTACAGGAACAAGCAGAAAAGGACACATCATCTACCTTACCGCAACATCTGCAACCCTCAAAACGCTTAAAGCCATTGCTGGAGGCTGACATCAAGACCATTGATGGATTTGGCAAACGTGCGTATGGACGTGAGATGGAATCGCAACGACAAATAATAAGGGATCACTTGGAAGATGCCCAAGGCTTTCAGGATTGCACCAACGTCCCTTTCGCCACAGTATGCGACGATGCTATTGCCACAACCATCGACAGGATAGGAGACGTGAAGCGCCAATGGCAAAACGTCCTCTCCAAGAGCGCTTTACTCCAGTCTCTTGGCTCATTAGTATCAGCGGCCCTTACAAAGTTCGTGAATGATGTGGAGGACAAAGCAGATATTGCTGAAGACGAGTCTCGAAAACTACATGGATACTGTGTCTCGCTTTCTACACTCGCACAACACTTCCAGACAGAGGACGATAATGGAGAAATCAGAGACATGGCTGGCGTCTATACACCTAACTGGTTCAAGTTTCAGTATCTCAGCGAGATTCTAGACAGCAGCCTCGCAGACATCAAGTACTTCTGGACAGACGGAGAACTGAAACTAGAAATGGAGGCTGAGGAGGTGATAGGCTTGATTGAGGCGTTGTTCGCACCGACTGATCATCGGAGGAGAGCAATTGCTGAGATCAGGAGGACCAGCGTGCAATGAAGAAGGCAGTCACACCAAAACACCAAGTATTTACTCACCGTCATATTAATACTGAAACCACTTTCTATAGAAATGTATCATTCCTCGGTACTCTGACCATTCATTTACAATCCGCAAACCATTTTAATGAACAAGTTCAGTAAGCAACATCTCAGATTGCCGGAGGTTCGCGAACGCCGACTGGCTGATGTTTTTGCGCTAACCTCCTTCGGAAAAAGTTCGAGATCCCAAAATTTCCAAAGCTTCCCGAATCCATCGTCACTTGCACACCACTTTTCGATAAGCAAACGACCACATAACGACGCCATGGATACCGAAGCCGCAGAGACCAAGGTGCAGATTCGCCTCACTACGCGCGACTCTAGCCTGCAAATTTCAGAGGAGCCTAGTACTTTGCTTGTACAAACATGTAAGTACCGTCGCGGGACATGATGATAAGCTGCGCACTCTTATGCCGCAGCATATCGTAAATTTGCGCAATTAAAGCATAGTCGTAACATGCTGCGCAAGTTTCAACTATCAATTCTCACATACTGTGCTAACAGCATGCGCCTGTAGCCTTAACGCGCCACAAGCTTTCGACTCTTGTAAACGAGCTCCTACATCGTGGGGATGAAAATCGCATTCCATTCGACATACTTATCAATGGCGAATTCCTCCGCACAACCATCGACCAGTTTCTCACCAAGAATGGTATTAATGCCGAAGCGACGCTCGATGTAGAATACACTAGGGCGCTAGTACCACCACTGAATGTGACGAGTTTCGAACATAACGATTGGGTTTCTGCAGTTGATGTCCTGTCGGGGGTACAGAGTGGACAAGAGAGGATACTGAGCGCAAGTTACGACGGGCTTCTGAGAGTATGGAACACATCAGGCGATGTTTTGGCGACGTCCGAGGCGCCCAACAATGGAGGTCGGATTACCAGCTTGAAGACGGCAAAGTGGTTGTCTGAGAAGAAGATAGTTGCCGCTGGATTGGACAACACTGTTCGCGTGTACAAATATGACGACGATACGCGGACCATCACGACTGCCTTGGAACTCTTCAACCACCGCTGGGGCGTAGAAGACGTTGCAGTCCACGCACCTTCAAACCGGATCCTGTCTGCATCTTCAGACACGACTGTTTCGCTTTTCTCGAGCAACGCAAAAGAAAACCCAGCCGCACCATCGAATCTGCTCCCGAACTCAACAGCCGCTTCTAACAAGCGACAAAAACTCTCGAAACCAGACCGTACGGTTCCTGCCCGCGGCGCATTGGCAACATTCACAGGCCACAATTCGCCTGTCTCCAGCATAATCTTCAAGCCAGACGATGCTACAGTCGCATACTCTGCTTCACACGACCACACGCTCAAGACATGGGATCTGCCTACCGCTACATGTGTTGATACGCGAACAACGGGCCACTCGCTCCTCTCCTTGTGCGCGATTCCTTCCCGAAATCTCCTGGCAACCGGTACCTCGGCACGCCACATTACTCTCGTCGACCCCCGCGCATCGGCTACCCAGATTAGCGTCATGACGCTACGAGGCCACAAGAATGCCGTTGTATCTCTCGACACGGATCCGTCGTCCGAACACAACCTTGTGTCTGCGTCTCACGATGGTACAGTCCAAATATGGGATCTTAGGAACGTTAGTGCTGGTGGCCAGGTTGGAGAGGGCTTAACGGGTGAAAGCGTATATACAATTTACAGGCAATCGTGGGATGGCGAGAATGTCAAGAGCCATGGCGAGGGCGCAAAGGTCTTCAGCGTGTGCTGGGATCGCCAAGTGGGTATTGTATCTGGTGGTGAGGACAAGCGGGTACAGATTAACCGTGCGATTGGGTCTTGAGAGGGGCTGGATGTGGCTCTCTCTCTCTCTCTCTCTCTGCAATTGCAAAAAAAGAATAAAGAAGTGGTGATAGCAACTGGTGTTTTGGGCGCATGTTTTAGATACCAATTTTCTGGCTAAAAGGGAAGAAAAGGGTAGTAGCTTTGAAGCTGGACCGAATGGTCGCGCGTATCTTTGGTCTCTCTTGTAATGCGACGCCTTCGCCTACTACGTGTTTATGCTTAAATGAAAGGGTATCAAGTCGCAATGTTCGGTTCCTTCGAACCACTCTTCTCCCCCTCCACATATGCGATGAAGTCGCACCTCTATATCTTTTCCCTCGCTCTAGCGCATGGAAAGTACTTGGTGACTCATGTTTCCAAAGTTCCTCCCTTCTCGTAGCACCGTATTCGCCTCTGCCCTATACCTTTATTAGTACCCTAGAATCTGCCTTTTCCCCCCCTTTCTTTCATGTTTTTTCTTTTTATCTTGTCTCTTCTCATACCAAATGCCCCGGCAACAAGAAATTCGCAACACCCTCTTTCACCGCATACTCGTGCTGGCACGCTCCACACACCAGCTTCCCTTCTTTTATACACGTCTCGAGCAGTATCCTATGCAGATCCTTTGCCGTCTGGCTTGGCTCTTCTTCTTCTTCCTCTTGTGCGTCGGCGGCTGGTGTCGCCTCAGCGGTATCTAGTGCGGACGCGGAAGACGACGAAGGCTCAACGAGGTCAGCGGGTGTGGGCGCTGTGGGTGGGAGTTCAGGGAGACCGAGCTACAAATATTGGATAGAAGTGTTAGCTTTGTTTTTGCTCTACTGTTTTTTTGGTCTTCTCTCCCTCTTCCGCCTCCTAGTATATATATATAGGCGCAAGACGTGACAACATATATCAAGAAACACTGCCGTCTTACCTCACTGCATATCACCCTCAATTCATTCCACAGAATGCGGGGTAAAATGTTTTTCAGAAACGCTAGGTTTACATCCGCTTCGACAATCTCGAGCTCGGCGTCGCGCGGGTGCAGGGGGAAAGATGCGGGGTTCGTTTTGCAGGCTTTGATGGCGCAGGTGAGGAAGTTGAGGGTTAGGAGCTTCATCTTTTGCGTACGCGTATACGTTGGATTATTGGATTGAGGAGAGCCGGAGTTTGCGATGAGTATTTTGGGAGAGTATATATTGGTAGAGCGTGCGATATAGTATGGGTGATGCTGGCTGGTTGTAAGGAATCCTTGTTGAATGCGCGCAGTTTGCGGGCGGGGACTGTGACAGAATAATTTTTGGCGCGTCGGGGAACGGGCGGGCTGTCGTTGGTGGGGTATGGAACGCTAGTACGAGGCCTAGGTTTGTGCATATCGTTTTCAAATTCAACCTTTCTTACATTCTTTTTCTTGCACATTTTTGCTGAGCATCATAACATCTTTGGTACTACTCTCTGAGAGTGTAATTAGCAGTTATACGGAATTTTCTCAGAAAAAAAACCGACCTTGAGCTTATGCACGGTACTGGCAATATCAATTTGGAAAACCTCACTATAATCAAATGGGAAATGGGAATTACAGAGCATATCTTTAGTTTTTACTACGAGAATATGTTACTACAAGATGGCATGAATTTTTTCCCTCGTATATCAACCACTCAAGACCTATCGCTTAGTAGCGTCTTCCAACACTAGATCCGTTGCCCTCGAACTCAGCAGGAACGTGGAGACTGCTGGAAACGCGCCCGGACATCTTGGGAAAGCACTTGCGTCGACAACACGCAGGCCTTCTACGCCCTTGACTCTCAACCGAGAGTCTAGCACAGCCATTGGGTCAGAGTCTGGGCCCACCTTGTTGGTGCTCGTTGGGTGGTGGCCGAATACTTGGTCCTCGATCCACTGCTTGTCAATCTCAACATCGCTGCAGTACCCAGTCTCAAGTATATCAGATGGGGGACAAGGAGGGGAGACCGGAGTGACAGGACCAACGGGTCCTTCGGTTGTCATGTAAGCTTTCCGTACGAATGCCAGTGTATCCAGAATGGCGCCCATGTCTGTCTCTGCGCCAGTGGCAAAGTAGTTTAGATTGACCTCTGGAGGCTCCGTGGGATCAGTAGACTGGATCTGAATGTATCCTGCAGTGTTCTGTGGATGCATCTTAACAGTAGACCAAGAAAACGTCGTCGGAGGAACACCTGTCTGATTCTGATTTGTGTCAGGTGTGAAACCACGGAAGACACTGCCAGGGAAACCAAACATGAACATGTCACGCTCATCTTCGACGGCGTGCGATGTCTTGAGCAGGAAAGCGTTGGAGTTGACGCCACCGCGCGTATATGGTCCCTCGCCCTTGTGCCAAAGGTCAACGCATGGATCTCCAGGAGCGCCAAATGTGCACTTTGGTTCATTGGGGTCAGGAGAGGCCGTAAGGGTTATTGGCGACTCGCCATACATTGGTATTTCGTAATTGTCCTGGAGGTTACGACCTACGCCGGGTAGATCAGAGACCACCGGAATACCATACTTCTCAAGAAGGGCTCTGGGACCGATACCAGAAAGTTGAAGGATCTGGGGCGAGTTGAATGCACCGCCTGAGACAATGACTTCTTTGCGAGCGAAAGCTGTCTTGAGAACACCTTCTGTAGTGTTGGCAGTCCGTCGTGGATCCGCTTTGTATACGGATTTGCCTTCGAGGTACTCGACACCCACCGCTTGTGGCTTTGTGCCATCGCCACCGCAGGTATCGAACAGTACCTTGGTGACCAACGATTCGAGTTGTAGGTGAAGCGGATACTTTTGCGTGCCGTTCGCAGTTGTCTCCTTTCGCGTCTCTAGAATGATATCACGCGGGCTGAAGCGCTTCCAAATCGATGTGACATGGAAAGGCAAGGCCCACAATCCCTCAGTTTGATCGCGGGCTGGGTCAAGATAATTCCCGTCGCTGGTCATGTAGTCCAGTACTTTTTCTGGCTCTCTGCCAATGAGCTTCAGAGCTGCTTCGTAGATTTTGAGACGAAGCGGAGCCACTGACTGAGCTGCACGGTCGGCTATATTTGTCTGAAGCCAGCCTGTGAACCCGTGGCCTGGGGTGCCAGGTTCAAGGTAATTGTTATGCTCGATCTTCTCAAAGTACTTGCGCATCAGACCGCCACTAATACAGTCAGCACACGTACACAATCATTGCGATTGCAAGGAAACTAACCTCCAGAGGTCTTCTTCGGTTCCTTGGTCAAATATATCCCAATCGCTCTCACTTGGCAAGAACGTTGCTGCCGCGTTTACAATAGCACTTCCACCAAGTGTCGCACCGCGGGGGTAGAAGATTCCGAGTCTCTCGGCACCGATATGGCCCTCAACGGTTGGGTCTCGTCCAACCCAGTCTTTTTGATATTAGCATATTTCACGCAAGCATCTCTCGAAGAAAAACCACTCACATTCTCCATTTGCCAGTCTCCAAACCAGCAGATTGTATCGCTTCAGCCTCTCCTCATCATCGCCATGTTTGACAAAGAAATGCCACGTGACATCTGTATTCCCGAAGCTGTTCAGCGCAAGAATCTGAGTCCGAATATCATGCGATGCATCCGAACCCGCTTCAACCAAGAGCACAGAGTGCCCAGCGCGCGCAAGATTCGTAGCAATCGTCCCGCCTCCCGGCCCAGACCCAGTGACAATGTAATCGTACGTATTCGACGAGTCTGCTGACGTCTGCGGAGACGCACAAGCCGGACCCGAAGAAGGATACGCGAGCACGAGCGGAGGCAAGAGCAAGTAAGAGGCCGTACGAAACTTCATAATTGGAGCAGATGAATAGCAAGAAGCTCAAAAACAAAGACGCAGGAAAGCTTTCAAGGGAAGGACGGGCTTTCTAGGCTCGACTAACAAGCCACCTTTGTAGGCCCGACTTCATATACAAATATAACCAACCACCCCCTTCCTCGCCACCAACCCGCATTCCCCAATCAAATACGAGAAGAACAAAACGCCCTGCGCCCATCCCCAGACAGAAAAACAGCCGAGTTAACGGCTTGCATACATGTACCTTTTTACCCGGGGGTGAGGGAAACGTACCTAGTTTCTTGGCGCAGTTACACAAAACCTCTCACGCAAGGCGACATTATTGGCTGGGTTAACTGTAGAGGGGGGGCGGTAAGAAAATCAGGATCTGCAGGTACTACGTACGTGCATTTCCAATCTTACTAGTCAGGTTCTCCGCAATGTTGGGCAAAAAAGGCAGCCGCCTTGCTGGGATGTTTGGATGCGCCGAGTAATTGATAGTAAGTTGAGGACATGGGGAAGTTGAAGGAGTTGGGGTTGGGGAGCCAATGAGCGGGGGGGTTGGGTGGCAGAAATAGGCAGGTATCTTGTCTCGGGTTGACTGAGAACGTTGGACCGAGAGGGTACATAGGTTGGTGGGGTTGGGAAGTGGAACCTGGGGCTTATCGGGTAAGTAGTATGGCTGCAAAAGGAGAAAGAGCCAGGTGCTTAGTGTTGCTTTGTCAGGAGGTGAGTTGGCAAATCAGTAGGTGCATACATGCAGAGACTTGTTCAGCTCTTGGTATTGATGGGGGAGGATTTAGTCAACCGAGGCGACTACGATAATAACGCAACTTGGAAATGAGCCTTCATGCAGACAAGAGGTTGTGGAGAGTTGCTCAGGAGCATGATTCAGAGTGATCCTGGTTGATATATCGTGTTATTAATCAGATGTTTTTGGGTCGTGTCTTTTTCTTAACCTGTCACATCGTCGGTGCTTCCTCAGATACGTGGTGCAAGCAAACACACTCGTCGACCATAGTATGGTCAAATAAATCGTCATTTCTCATAAGCAACTGCGCCTACTGAAAGCTTTTCAGCAGCTCCTGTAGCTGTGCGTAGGTATCATCTGGGTTCTTGACCTTGTGTCCAATGGTCCGCTTATCGCTGTAGATCTCCCAGTCGTTTCCGCCCTCGTATGCCTTGTCACCGAAGAAGTGAATCTTGTCGTAGACAATTCCTGAAATGTCCTTCTCTGCCTCAATGTGTCGCAGGCAGTAGGTCTTGTCCCAGCCAGTAGGGAAAACGTCAAACGAGATTTGGCCGCCGATAGAGTAGGTAAGGCCGTAGTCAGGGAAAGCTTCCTTGAGCTTTGCGACCATGGTCTCTCTAATCTTGTGCTCGAGATCGTACTTTTGGTACTCGTTTCGCTCTTCAGTCGAGGCGTTACGGCCGATGGGGGAAACGTTAATCATGCCATTGCGGAATTCGATAAAAGTACCACGCTTGATGGGTATATCGAGGTCGGCGATGTAGTGAAGGATCCTGTGATTTGGGGTCAGCAATGCTTTGTAAAACTACGGGCTTCGACATACCACTTGGTCAGCGCCTTATACTTGTCCTCACCAATCCAGGCAATGAAGCTCTGACTGGCCAGGGTCTCGCCCATTCGGATGGCGGTGAGTCCGTTCTCAGCAAAGCAATAGTCGAACAGCGATGTGACATCGACTGCTCCCCCAAGTTGCTCCTGCTGCTTGGCCAGGTTGGAGCCGCCAACGAAGCCAATAGCAACTTTGTGTCTGAGTTCCGAGAGCATTTGAAGCATCTCAGGGCTCACCAGCTGCAGCCATGTTAGCTGCTGGTAGAGGATATGTCATTAGAGGGTGAGCGCACTTGACGGGGCTTTGTGAGTGTGTCGTCAACATCGAAGAGTAGGACTGTGTTCTTGACCGGGCGCTGGTCAAGCGGGGGGTATACAGCAGCTGCAGTTGCCATGATTGCTACGTGTAGGAAGTCTTCTGTGAAGTAAGATGGGTCAAGACCAGGGCTTTTGATCAAAGTAACCAACAAGAGGCGAAAAATTCGGTATAATGCTAGAGATTGCAGCGAGGGTCGCGATACAATTTGGAGGGGTTTCTTGCAGGGATGGGTGATCCTCACCGCAGTTTCGCGGCCGGCATGCGGGGGGGTGCGGGACTGGTACTCGACTGGCATTGGCCAGGCACCTGGACCCTGAGCTTACGGCTGCGGTACCTGAATCGAGGCCAAAGTTACGATGCTTCGAAACGTGTCAATTATGCCTTTGTGCTTACTGTGCAGTATGTCACTTGGGCGTACAGCTGGCAATTCGCCGGCACACAATGCCGAGAAAGGAGCGCATGATCAACAGCTATTTTGGCATTCGTCGCAACATCTGGACAAACTATGTGTGTGTACATGCACAGTACAACAGAAACGAGGCCCACCTAACCCAACGCCCCGACCTTCTCCGCCAACCCCTTCCACCGTCCCTTCCTCATACCTGAAGGCATATCCAGTATCAACCTCTTAAGCAAGTCCTGTTCGTATTCAAGTTTCTCCAGCGTTACTGCCTGCAGGATGTAGTTACTGACGGTGCTGTGCGAGAGTGGCGGGTTCTGCACCAATGGCGCAATCTCATCCACTGACATTCTCTGGTGATGCCATAGATGATAGGCACGGAGGTGGGAAACTGTTGCGTGGATGCGAGGGGGAGCCGGTGATTCGGGCAGCGGAATAGTAGATTGAGCAAAATTCTGCGCCCACTCAGTCGCTAAGCCATATGATGAGCCAGTCTGCTCAGGAGTGACAACCTCCACGTCCTCTCTCAAGTTGCCGGCATCATCGAGCGTCATGTGTCCAAGCGCTTCTTCGAGTTCTGCATCCGCATATTCATCATCGGTGTCAGCTGAAACTTCGTTAGGCTGAGACGCTTCAGTGTCCTCCTGCGATAGTTGTGGTAATACCGGATAGCCCACATCAGCCCCGTTCAATGACAAGATATTGATCCGTCCTACACGCCTGAACGAGGAAGAAGTTTCATTTTCAGACTCCAGATTACTATCTTCAACTAGCTCTGTGTTCTCTGCCTGCCTGGCTCCAAGGTTTTTGTCTTTTTTGAGTGGGTGAGTTGTTGTATGTGTAGGATCTTCGAGTTCATGGCTATCCATAAGTTCTTCTGGCGCCGTTTCATAGCCTTGGGTGTTTTCATCGCTATCTTGTTCCTCTTCCGCAGGATCGGTTGATAAGTTCGAGTCGCTGTCAATAGCTTCTTTGACCTTGGCGGTTGCTCCAGCTTTCTTACGTGGCTTTTTGGCACGGGGGGCAGGCTTGTTGTCGTAGTCGCAAAGCATTACCGGCGGAGGTGTTGGTGTCAACCGAGTCCGTTTCCGCTCCAATATGTGGTAAAGCCGGAATCCGGCGTACGCGTCAGCAGCTGCGTAATGTATTTGTTGCAGATTCAGCGGGAGGCTCCAGTCGCTTTCCCGGACACTAGATGTAGTGTCTTCGTCGTCTTCTAGTTGCTCGCCTTTGTACAAGGGCAACTGCAGGTGTTGAAGCACCTGGGTAGCAAGACTGACCAGTCTATTTGAGATTTTGCTAGGATCAACCTCATGCCATTCAACAAGGTTGTGTAAGCGACTCAGCTCAAAGACACCCTGTGGCCGAACTCCAAGGTACTTTTCCACACGTTTGAAATCGCCCTTGATAGCCACCCCTACTTTGATGACATCTAGTGACTCCAAGACGGCTTTCAAACTAGGTGGCATGAGCTGTTCGACCTTGTACCCAGAAAACAGAGAAATATGAAACAGTGCGATCCTATCCTCGCATGCAAGTTGGATCAATGAAGCGTTTTGTTTGATCGCATGCGGATTTCCATAAGGTTTCCACTCGATGTCGAAGCCTACAACCTTCTCTTTCAAAAAGTACTGGGCAACTCTCTCAGCGACATCGAAAGATTTACAATAATGGATTGAAAGCGACTCGCCGTCTGGGCTTTGATACAGCTTCGCACTCCAGTAACTTGCACGTGTTTTAGGCGAAGCGAGCATTGCGGCACGTAGCGTGTCTTCTGGGATCTGGTAGGCAAGATCCTCACTGGCATCTGACTCCTCTTCTTCGCTGACATCGGGCTCGGACTCGTCTTGCGAAGAAACTTCGTACGTGTCTGTGGAATCTAGTTCTTCTGTAGACTCAACGCGATATGACGACTGGCTTCCCGCTGGACAGGCGCCATCTTCTGTACTATACTGTGTATCTTGCCCCAAGTCACTACCACTGTGTGTCGAATCGTCTTTGGTACTAGGCGACTCTGATGACCTGGCTTCGGTTTTGGGTAAAGGTTTCGTGCTTGGAGGAACGGGAGCGGACTGCCGTGTCTCTGCTTGTGATGTGGTCGCAAAGCGTAACCCGTATGACGGGTCCCACAATCCCACTCGCTGGAAACAAGTCAATGGTTTGTATGAGTCTACTACGGGCGAGGTCTCACAGATGGCGCAGCGAACGCTTGTAGCGGAGAGGGCTTGTTTTCGGTTGTGGTCGCTCCATTGCTCGTAGTAGGTTGTTTAAGAGGAGGAGAAGAATGCGTGGTCGGGCCAGAGTTGTGGTGCATATCTCGAATGCGCGTGCTGCTTGCGGTGAACGGTCGTCCCCGCTTCCATTGGCAAGTGGTAGGGGAGGAAGGCGCGGGCGCTGGGCGTGGTGGGGTGGCGTGCATGGCTCCTGCCATGTGCAATAGTCTTGGGAGTCGCGAACCGCTATCTCTTTTCTCTTTTAGTACTGTGCTACATGACAACTGAAGTCTTGTTCGCACCTCTGTATGTGATGACGGTCTACTGCTCGTGTAATGCTAAGTGTGGCTTCATCGCAAACAGACCGAGAGACGTGTGACGCGCTCAGCAGAGGGGCGCGTCGTCTGAAGAGCATGGCACTCCATGGTAGTGCTCTAGCTAGGCACCAATGTTGTGTGTATGTGTTGGATAGGCTGATTCGGCAGCAGTGGCCGAGAAAACACGTCTGTTGCCTTGCTAAGAGCGACAGGACCCTGTTCGCGAATGTTGGTTGGCTAGCGCGCCGCCTGTCTTGAAGATGGCCCTCTCCGCCAAGATATCCGACCCAGTCACCACCACAACACACAACCAATTTACACCGGACTACGCCACCATGTCGCTCGAGAATCTATTGCCTCTGGGTGAGAAAGTTTCATAAGGGCTACATGCCGGGCGCTGACTGCCGCAGAACTCATCGACAAATGCGTTGGTTCGCAGATCTGGGTCATCATGAATGGCGGAAAAGGTGTGCTTGGATGCCAGAGATGAGAGTGAAGAGACTGACAAGAGGCAGAATTCACGGGTAAACTAGTTGGATTCGACGACTACGTCAGTGAGTAGGCGGCCAAAGACTTTTCTGTGCATTTCTAACATGGCATAGACATGGTGCTGGAGAACGTGACAGAGATGTGCGTGGCTACGTCGAGTTGTCTAGACAGCATGGTCGTGTGCTAATTTGGACTGCCAGTGACCCGGCTGAGGGAAATGTGCAGCTACCCAAGATCCTGCTCAACGGCAACAACATCTGCATGGTACGAAGCAAGCGTGACCAGGATGTCCCATGCTAACTGTGATAGATGGTTCCCGGAGGAGATGGCCAAACGGTGCTAGAGGAGGAGTAGGGCCACAGGCAACAGCGGCATGGACAAGCGCCGCAAAATGCGATGATGGCCGGGTTTGGGGCTCACATGATGGTAAACGGCTTCATCGCGGTCTCTTCCATCAGTGTGTTGTACTCGCCATGGCGCCTGCCATTCACGGCTAACCATGCCGGCTGGTGCGACTGGTCCGGAGCCATCTGCCGCAAGCATCTAAGGTAGCCAGCCCATGGGAGGCTACGCAGAGAGTAGTGCATTTTGGTCGTTTCAGTTCACGTGGCTTTTGGGTTTGGTAGCGTGCATAGATGTATGTATGGATGTATGGGATACATATGTATGTGTGTGTGGTTCATGAATCAGCAATTGTCTCTGTATGGGCACGTGACCGTCGCATAGGGTGAGGTGAGTGCAGCAGCAACGCGTCTGCAAGGCACCGGCGGCGGCCACAAGTACCGCAACCGCAACCCTCAATGGCGGACGGAGGCAAGGGCGAGTGGCTGCCATGTCGACGGTGGAGCAGATCCAAGGCGAAGCCGATGACATCGGTCAGGGTCCAACATGACACCACACTCTCCCACTTTGGCCCGGTTTCTGCTCCGTGATACACAACTCAAGGACACATGCACCCTACGCACCCACCCGATACAAGCATTGTGCAAGGACTGCAGCTTGTCAAGGCCTCCCACTTGGGCGCATGTCCATACACTACTAGGCGACGTTTGAAGGCCAGCTTAGGACCAGTCCAGCCAAGTGAGAGAAGCGTTCCGCTCCGCCTTGGGCGTGAGGGTGGCATTGCCGGCGAGCAATGCCCAATGGCACGGCTGGCAGGCGACGGTAAATAGTCACTGGGCGGAGCAGAGTGCCGAGAGCTCCTCTCCGCCCCTGGCCTGGCGCGTTGATCGTTACGAGAACTAGCTGCAACGGTCCAGACAGCGCCACGGCCTACATACCGAGTCGCATCATGACCAAAAGACAGTGGCCTGAGAAAAGTAGAGATAGATATCTCTACCGTCTGCCATCGCCGATGCAGCCCGGGCTAAGCTCGATGCATCTGCTCGTGTCTGCCCACCCCCCCTTCCCCCCGCTGCCAGCGCCCCCATTCAGTGTCCAGGGCTGCATCGCATCGCAGATCTACTTAGTCCTGTGGTGCCTGTGGTGGCTTAGCTGAGGAACAGGCAGGCCAGGCGGGCCATGTTGTCGCAAGATGAGCCCGCCAGAGCCATGCCAGAGCCAGTGCTGCTTGCCGACGACTGGCAAATCAGCGGCGACGGCGGCCGGGGGCAGGCGACTACGGCTGGTGGGTGGTGCCGATGCTTGAATAGACCTAGTAGACTGTGTACTAGGACCAAGATGAGAGGCGCCCAGACATGTACACCAGCCGACGTCACCCACGCCCAAGCAAGACAGCGTCGTGGGAGTCGAGCAGCGACTGCATGCTTCCTGGGTGCAGCAGTCAACAGCCTCGTGGACGGCCAGGGAGGTGTGCAGAGTGGGTGATGGGGGCCAGCGTGGATGGATGCGATGATGCCGGGCTCCCGCAAACCGGGCCTATTCCGATGTATCGGCGCTTCGTTGATGGACAATGGTTCTGGCCTGCCATGTTTTGTACCCTTTGCACCGTCAGCTATACGCGCTGCAGCCTCCCATCCCACGTCATAGGCGCACCAGATATCCCGCAAGCAGCGAGCTTTCCGACTGCCAGCCTGGCGCGTGCGTTGCAGTTGCTCACGGCTGCCCTGGCTGCCCTCGCATGCCCTCGCTGCTCGCAGAAACGGAGAGAACGCGCCCGCTGCCTCTGCACTGCATCCCCTGTCCGGGCCTGCTCTCGAGCCCGCCGATCGCCTGCTCTGATCTCGACCATCTGACGACCCTATCGCTGCCTGGGCTACACACTTCTTTCCGCTCCATTTTCCTGCCCTCCTACCTCTCCCATGTCGCCTGCTGCTGCTAATATTGCTGCCGCTGTCACTACCACCACCACCACCAACAATCCTACCATCGTCATCACTAATACCTCGTCCACCTCGTCCGCATCCTCTCCCGTCTCCACTCTCTCCCACCTCATCCTCCTCCTCCACTACCAGTACCCACGCCAGCACCAGCCACAGTCATCCGCCGCACCTGTAACCCTCTTGACTCCACCCCCCGTCCCATCACAATTGCCCTCCATGATTGCGCCCGGCCTGATCTGCTAGCCTTGTCCCACTCAATTGGGCCTTGCACCGCTCTCACCCGGAGCTGCCCACGCTCACCGCAACCCGGGTCCTCTGCGTCTCTGGTTCGCGTCGCATCCAAGCAAAGCTCTGGACGCGCCAAATGAGCCCCGGCCATTTACTGACTCTCGTTGGCCGCTGTTCTGGCCGTGCCTATACTAGGCTGCGTCCGCTCCCCTCCTTGACGGTAGCCGAGACTCGACCTGCCGCCATCACAACATAATTACAGAATTCGACTGTATCGGTCCGGGACCCACCTACCCCAAACCAACGTTGCGCTCCACCGCTCAGGCATGCGCCATAGTCGTTGACTGCTGCTTCCTTCACTTGCCCTTCTCTGCGCCTCTGCGCCCTGCAACACTTTGACCCTAACCTCGATTTTCCTTGCCAGTCGATCCGCCGCACTCGCCCCGCCACCGCACCAATCACGCTGGCTCAAGCAACACTCGGGCATTTCCTTTTTCATCCCTGTACACTAGTCTCGCCATACTCGACCTCTATCGATCACGCTCGATCCTCAATACCATTGCCACTAGTCGCCTAATCCTGTAGGCTTATCCAACCTTCTTGACTACCACGTCTCTCCACACTCGGTCGCTACACTACATTTACTTACGCGGTCGCGCCCACGCCTTCCTACATGAGCAACTTGAAAGACCGTTTGGCGCGATTGGGTCTGTCCCAGTACCACCAAGTGTTCGTGGCCGAAGGCTTTGACTCCTGGGAGACAGTGCTCGACATCACAGAATCCGACCTGTGCGTTTACCCTCCACCTGCTTACTCCCTCGGCAGACCCTTGCTTACAACGGCGCAGGAGCTCCCTCAACGTAAAACTTGGTCATCGACGGGTATGTATATATATCATCAGTATTGCTCTCTCATGTTTAGTATCATTAATCTTTTTTTAAAGAAACTACAACGGGCCATTGCCGAATCGCGCGGACAGTCATCCGAGAAGCCACTTCCTATTAATCTTCCCCGAGCAGGAAGCACTGCAGGCTCGTATCGAAGTGACGATTCAGGGCCTGAAAGCAAAACCAAGCAACCGGAGTCAAGCAATCCTTCTTCTGGTGTAACAGGTGCCAAGCGGAAATACCGACGACATCCAAAGGTTTGTTTGAAACTTGTACAATGTAAACCAGCTATACACTCTCCTAACTTTATACAGCCCGATGAGCATGCTCCAGAACGCCCACCATCTGCTTATGTCATTTTCTCAAATCGTGAGTATCATCCCAACACACTGTGACCATGGCTAACCCAATTACAGAGGTGAGGGAGTCCCTAAAGGGACAAGATCTATCCTTCACCGAGATTGCCAAAGTGGTTGGCGAGAAATGGCAAGTCCTACCCGCGGAAGAGCGCGAAGGCTGTGAACGACAAGCCAATGGCGCCAAGGAAAAGTACTATGCGGAATTGGCCGAATACAAGAAAACACCGCAATATGAAGCCTACCAGAAGTATCTTGAAGATTTCAAAGCAAAGCACTCAGTTCCAACAAAAGGTACATCACTCGCGCTATATACTCGAAACAATGGAGTATTAACATATGCAGAAGGCAAGCGTTCAAAACTGGATACAGAGACGAGCACTTCAACCCTGGCGGATAGCAATGAACAAAATGACCAAGCAGCAAACAGAAGATCAAGTTTCACACAGCCAGATAGCAACACGCTCGCGCAACAAAAGTCAGATCCCAACCAACCCCCCGGCCCTTCGCGTCTTCCTGCAGGTCCTACCTATACCTCTAAACCCACATCGCCGACCAATCGCTCGCTCTCTGGGTTCAATTCTCCCAGATCAGGGGAACAGTTCTCGCCAATTTCCGCCTCACCGCGTTCCGCAGTCATAGGAAGAGACGGCATCTTTGAGCCAGCTGTGATCAGTTCCGTACGGGATACTAGGACTCCGTTCGACTCGAATTCATACCAACAATCTGCATTCAATCAGGACAACAACCACCAATCTTCATCAACGCCACCACCACCACCACCACCACCCTCGTATACATACCCATCTCGTTATCAAGCGCCAGCAGATTTTCCCTCTCGTCGAGCACCGCGGGACACCACTCGTCTTCCACGCCTCAGTCACGAGGACACGACTTTGTCCTCGGAGAGTAGTCACAGTGGCCAAGGGGTGCTCACACCGAGCTATCCTGAGCAGGCCCTACCTGCTGATCCTAGCAAGACAATGCGTATGCTTCCCCAGCCAATCCCAAGTATAGGGCCTTCACCTTCGCCACTAGACCGGCCCATGACACATATGGCGGCGTCGCATTATCCTCTCCACTCACATGACTACCGCACACAAGGTCCACTAGCAGTCCTAGTAAGAGCAGGAGAGTTGGCGGCGAGAGTAGCGGATGAGGATGCAGCGGTCAACGCAGGATCGCCTTGATTGTTAATTTGACGACCACGCCACGGTACACACGACACACATTATGGGTTATTTGGTGCCTCAACCAGTAGACGCTGCATGGCCTGCTGGACTAATATTTGCAACGGCTCGCGTAATCGGTCAAGTTGGGAATTATTTAAGCCCATGGCACACGGGCCAAACAACCATTAGCGGAGACGCTTTACGTTTTCATACTTTTGTTATTTGATATTACAAGAAGATACCCCTGAGGCAATAAGTTGGCTTTCTGGATACTCAGTAAGCATACGGGGAAAAGGAAGATTTATCTTGTGTATAAAGGGTAAGATTTTGGATCGACGGGCCGGTTTAGAAGAGGAGAGGATGGGCACATGTGGAGGGATGTCGCCTCAAGGCAGTCGGTTTGGACATGCTAGCGCCCCAGGAGTTTTGAATTTGACGAAATATACCACGACGGAAAAGGGATCCGCGGCGCAGTTAGCTCTGTATGTAGTTGGCGGATCGCGCGGAGTTTGTACACAGATATCAAATGTACATGTACATATATAGATGGTTTTAGCCGAATCATTGACACAAGGCAACAGATTGGCTGAGAGAGCCATGTACACTACGTACGTGGGTGTAATAAGCCGTGCTTAGGGAAAAAAGGACTTTGGTAAGCGTGCCACATGGCGTGACAAATGAAGCGTGGCAATAGATTGGCTTATGCACTCGACTAGCTTGCCACTGGGGATCCGGCCCAGATGGAGCGGATCTCGATGGATAGTTTAGCCATGGAGACTGCATTTGCGCATGTTTCGGTCATGAGAATAGCATAGCAAATTGGGTGGATTTCACATGTTTGCTAGATCAGCCTATATGGGATATTTGACATGCTGATCGTGGATCGATTACCAGGATCCTGTCTGTGCGTCACGTGAAGTCCCGGGTCCAGAGGTAGTCGGGAACCAGTATCATTAGTCGGTACCCTTTCATGTCGAGTACATGTGGTCACAACGATCGACAAGGCACCATCGAGTCGGTCGCTAGATGACGTTCCCCTCCCCACTCACACCAGAAGCTTCGACACAGCAAAAGACCCTCGCTGGCCCCTCTTTTCAACCCCAGGCATCAAATGATATCTATCCTTGATCGCGTCGCGAGTGGGTGCATCTGATGTTGGCACTGGTTCCCGCCCAGGACGCGACGCTATGCATGCAGAGGACCATTGCCAGATTGCTTTGCCTATTGACCTACCACAGCCGCTGGGGGGAATTCCTCAGCTGATTACAGCATTAGCATCAGGCCTAGGATGCTGAAAATGGATATTCCCCATGTTGACTGGGATCTGGCCGCGCTCAAGCCTGTGCATGGATGGCTCTGGACCAGGATACATGCAGGCTTGTGGAGCAATGTCATGTCGTTGTGTCAATCCATACCGATGAACAATCTCAGCGAATGGAGGGCCCATCATCAGCACACCCATTGCTGGCTAACCGTATGGCGTGAAAATCCTTCCGAACCAGAGTTTCAACCAGCAGCAGCTAAGGATATACATAATGTCCACGCGTTGGTAGCCGTGCAACGTTCATGCGGCTTCAGTGAGGGTCCACGGTACAGGTTCCGTGTCCCTGGCCTCCGCGGAGCGTCAGCCTCTTGCTCGGCACCCGGCATTCGAGGTTAGTCTACTTTACACAGCGGCAGCGGCTCATGCACCCCAATGTCGTATTATTTTCCATCAAGTCAAGGCTATCATATTGCAGTCTACCACCGATCAGCCAGAGGCGACCTGAGTTGTCCGTTTTCTCTTCTCCAGCTTCTTACTCTACCCCATGTATTTCAAACCACTCCATGTACAGCCAATGGGAAAGGCCAGTTACTGGGATTCGTAATCGTACTACTTTTTGTAATGTGTACTATTAAGCATGGTTGCGGCACAAAGAAGCCATGGCTCACACTGTTGAGTAATCAAGACCGCAAACCCACAATCACGCCGCACTACCTAAATTGCATTTTTCATCGTGATGGCCATCTCGCCTCTCGGATCGAGTTACCCAAATCATGCTCTCGTTTCTGTCTTTGAGATTCGATGTGCGCCCACTCCCTTCGAAAAGATATGCTGTCAGGTGTCGCACAACTAAAAATTAGCCAATCACAGCCATCTCCATGTCCTTTGTACGCTAGCCATCATCCTGGCTCAAGCGTCACAGCTTCAATCCTATTGTCAACACTCTAGTCAATCATCTAAGCACATCCTAGGCCTTGCAGATACGCCTCACTTTGCCAGTATCCCAGTTGCAATCGCTATACCACCTTTTTTATCCACGGCAGCTGTCAACCGCTTAGGAATGCGCGAATCGAGGGTTTGACTACTAGATCTGTAAGTATGTATGTATGTGAAAAATCCGTACAAGCCACACTAATTGATTGTGATTGGCAGTCCTGGTGACTTCTCTTTGTATCACATGACTCATCGTACCACTGAGATCTAGACCGGTATCGAAGCGCCCGCGGCCTCGAACGCTGCAAGGCGACTGTGTCTAGCATAACGCCTTGACTTCCCATTACAGCCTCGTGCATTTCCAAGACTCCGCTCCGCTGCCCAGAATTTCAACAGAGAGCGCTTCGGCATGTCTACCAATCCCGTCCAATCCGAGCCAGTGGCGTCTCCAGACGATTCCGCGGAAGACGCTGATACTGGCCATGCGTCCGTGGCCGCTGCAAACGTCACAGTGCCGCACTCATTACGACGATACCTGGGTCTTAAACGCTTGGAGAAACTAGATCTACCATACCATCCCTTGTACGAGAATGCGGCGTCAGACCATAGGACGAGTTTGGTTCAATTTTTCAACAGTCTCTTTACTGAAATCGAGCAAGTTGATTTTGACAAAGATCCGAAAGAATGCGGAATCTGGAGTCCCCGGAATAGGAGTGTGCTGATGCCTCCACTAAACGCCACTGGAGATAACAAGGAACTTCCAGTTCCCATCTCGGTTAAGAAACGCATCCTTACAATCAACCAAGAGCGCTGGCTAGCCAGAACATCCACTCACAGTGATTCGCATGTCAAGTTTTCTGAATTGGCGCACTTGCTTGCACGAGAACACAGTCATAATGAATATGTTTATACGCCCAGTGTCTTCGATGCTGTTGAGCTTCTGACATGGGATCGAGAAGACTTGCTCACTGCTTTGCGTGCATCAAAGCACGAGGAAAGAATACATAATGTAGAGATGTCTAGTAAGTTATATCTGACAGTAGGGTATATAGGTTTTGCTAGCCTTGTTGCCAATCTACTGGACCTGCGTGTCGTCATAAGAACTTTGCTAACACAATACAGTCTTCCAGATGTTTCACGAAATGCCAAAGGTCGCTGGCCGTGATCTTTTACAAGACCGTGTCTTCCATGTGCTAGTTGTCACTACACAAACCAATCATGCTGAGAGCCCTTCTGAGCTAGTTCGATCCTCGACTGTTCAGCTGCCAATTGACTTTGAGTCTTTTAACGATAGCACTATAGTGCAAAGAAGCCATGTGAAGAAAGCGGGGTCACCGAGAACCTACCAGATTCCACCGGGACATGAGAGATCTGGTTCAAAGCATACTGACAAGCGGTTGCCGCATCAAGGAAAGAGGTTGACAGAAGGAAAGTACGCTTCACTGGAACTGCTGATTTCAGCACCAAGGGGGCCACAGTCTGATGTTGATAGCCTTGGTGATCATCGTTGGGACATGGTAGGTTTCACAAACAAACTTGGTGCAAACATTGTGCTAACTCGGCACAGATGACTTTGAGTACAGCTGGGGGTCTGACACGCATCGCGCCGAAAAGCGTGCAGGAGAAAGAGACTCTAGTGGCGACTGCAAAAGATGTAGAGTATGTTCTTGCATACATTGCTGAGCAGCGGCACCAGCGGTGCGGCTGAGGAGTGGGGGCTGTAAGTATTAACGGTAGTGCCAAAAGCGGCAAGGCTGAGACCGAGCGAACCACATGTCGTGGCTGCGACACCATGCCACTTTGCGTACATTTTGACTCTAGTAGGCGGCCTTGCGCCTCATGCATACGAAGCACGGATTTGGAGAACCTGTCGTTTTGCTTTCTTGTATCTACGCGACTCATTAATGCCATCTCATCGTTGTTCACTGTCTTTGTGATCCATTGCTAGTACCTCCCTTGTGCTCCTTTGTGTGCTACTACACTTGTCGCGAGCTTAATCGTACACGCAGACCCCTCAGCTCTTGTTGCAGCGCGCGATCTCGGTGAAGACAGCGCCATGCAGAACTACGGACAAGCATCTGGCTACCAACAGCCAGGAAGCGCAACGGGCTTCGCAGGCCAACAGAGCGCGCCCCCGCCAGTACCGCCGCCCCCACCGGGCTATGGAGGTATGCACATGCAGACCGAAGCTACCAAACGCCTATAACAATAGCTAACAGATGCTTCCACAGCTTCGCAAGGATACCAGTCTGTTGCTCCCCAACCGCACAGTCAATGGACTCCGTCCACGTCCACGCCAACTCAGACGTCGAGCCCATGGAACCAATCGCAACCTCAAACTATGGGAGGATACAATCCGGGCACATATGGGGCGATATCAGGCGCACAACGGCAGTCATACGCTCAGCAACAAGATGTGCCTCCCCCTCCTCCCCCGAAACCATACGGCTTTGCGGCGGCAATGCAACGACAAGAGCAGCAGCACAATTGGGCCCAGCAGCCTCAGCAGCATGCCAACTTCACACCTCAACCCCAACAAGGCGGATACACTAATCAGGGTCCTTTACAGCAGACATACCCCTATGTAGCTCCTCCGCCACCACATGCGGGAAGATCAAGTTCGATATATGGTGCAATTCAGACACCCTCAACCCCAAATGCTCCACCTGTGGCTTCTCAGCAAGCCCATGCAAATGTCATTCCAAACGAACAGCAGCCAGCATATGCCTCACCACCTATGCATGGAACAAGCGCACAAGAGTATATGTCACCTAATGGCAATCGAACAAACAGTATTCATGGCCCTCCTCCGCCAAATGCCCCAACATGGCAGCAGGCACAGCAACAACCACTCCAGGGAGATACAAACCAGTTCACTTACACGAGGCCGGCTGTGGATCAGAATTCTTACGTGCAGGGAAACCAGAGTACACAGCCTTCCTATCAAGCAGGGCAACCTCCACCGCTTCCGCCGCGCGTTGGACAGCAGACGGGACAAGCTGCGCAAAATCAACAACCCCAGTACCATCACTACGGACATCAAGCACAGACCCAGTACCCACCGCAGACACAGACACCTGTACAATCGCAGCAAACACCAACTCAGTTCCTACCACAGCAGCATGGCTATCAACAGCAACCACACCAAGGCCAAGCCGTCCCTGCTAGCCAGCAGCAGCAACAGTCATTTGCGCAGACACAGCATCCACCAAGTCAATATCATCAGCAACCACAACCGCCGACGTACGGACAAACTTCTTATGACCAGCAGGCCAGTTCCTTTCCACAACAGACACAGCCTCAAAATCAGTGGCAGCCCCCACCGCCTCCAGATCCAGCTTACAACCATCACGTTGCACAAACATCTTATGAAACTCCACAGACACCACAGCCAGCCCAAGCCCCAAATTTCAACCAGCAGCATTCTCATGTGCCAAATCAACCAGCTCAGGAGTCCAATTCATTTAACCAAACTAACCCCATCTCATCAAGTCCCTACGAATCACGTCCAAACAGTCAGCCGGTATCTCCAATATCCAATCGACCCAGTCTCAGCTACCCCCCTGGGCAGAATCCGCGCTTTAGCCGTGCCGATTCTATAAACTCCGTTGCTTTCGCTAAATATTGTGCCCAACGTGCTGAAAACAAAACGGTGTCTCCAAAACCTACTATACAAAAGTTTTCAACACCGCCTCCACCGCGTGACGACAAGTCAACATTCAGTGCATTGGCCGCTGGCGGCCCCTCGGATTGGGAGCGCTTGGGTGGCAGTGAGGAGATTGATGACGAAGACCTTTTTCGTACGAAGCCGGAGAGAAAAGGGACTGAGATTGCCCAACCAGATAGCATTGAACTGCCAGCCCACGTTCCGTCCCCTCCGTCAACACACGGCTTCCCAAGTCCTGCAGTATACCCCACACACCCAGGATCAAGTGATTCAGTAGACAGATACATGCCTACACCTCCTTCCGTCATGGCACACCCTAGCGAACGACGTTCGCCAAGTTCTACACCTGAGGGTTTCGTTGTAGAAGATGCGATTGTGGCGCCCTTGAGAACTACCCCTAAACCCACAGAGAGTACACGCCATCCTCGAGATCGGTTCACGGGAGCATCGTCGCCCTCGAATCAACATGCCCCAGTTCAATCAAAATTCTTGCACGAAGTGCAACCAGGTGGTATGGCGAGCCCTACTAGCTTCGTTTATGCCGCAGAACTCAAGGCAAGAGACGAGCTCATCGACCAATTGCGGGCAGAGCTGCAACAGCAGATTGATCAGCGCCGCACCGAGTCCGAGGTCTTCAAGGCTGAAAGAGAGAAATTTGAATCTGAATTCAAGGCCGCAAATAGCCACGCAGCGGATGAGAGGGATGTTCTTTTAGCGCAACTTGAGAGCATGAGGTTGACAGCAGACCAAGCTAGTGCTAATTCTGAGGCCGTGGTCAAAGAGAAAGGTCTAACTATCGACAGACTGAAAGAAGACATGGAGGGGAAGGAGAATAACCTCGAAGAGCGCGACAACACTATTGCCGAGCTGAGACGCCAACTCGAAGACGAAAAGACGAAGGAGCTGCCGAAGCCAACTGCAGCAGATCTCATTCCAGACCTTGATCCGTGGTATGTAGGCTCATTAGAGAGGTACATCGCTATGCTTCGTAGCGAGGCAATGGAGCCACAGGTCCAAGAAAAGATTAAGATATTCAAGACTTTCGTGAAAGCTGAGGCGGGTTTCAGAGGAATACCACTTTTCGACGCCCCGCCTCAAGTTCCAACAGTTGAACCGGCGGCTTCGATACAACCTGAGCAAGAATTGGAACTACATAGCAACTCAAATAGCTCTAGTGCAAGACGGGATCTGAAATTGCAAGTCGTGCCGGACGTAGCGCAACATGATGACTATGATTATAGTCCAGGTGGAAGGCCCATAATATCGCGGAAACCAACATTACCTCTTATGGATATTACGCAGACGCAGCCCCAAGCTGCGCCTTCTGTGCAATCCACCACTATTCTGACTCCAACGAGTTCAATCGATGACGACATGAACAAAACGCCGATTCAGTCTAATCCTGAAGAACCATCACAATCACAATCACAATCACAATATAAAGCCTATGTGCCGCCAAACAGAAACCCTGAAGACCCCCCACTCTTGCGACATAGGCAAACGATGTCTTTCATGAGCACACCAAGCGGAGTTTCGTCATTAGGCCTTCACAAGGATCATGATGAGATCTTTTTTGGAGCGGGTGAGCCGAATACTCATGCATCTGCAAACAACACTCCCCGTAATGCGGGCGACAACTCTATTCCTCCATTGAATATAAAATCACATAGTCCAACCTCAGTCGCACCTCCGCACGAAAACGATCCGAACAAATACCTCACCAGACTTCTGCCACGACAGCTTGAGGGCGGGCCTAGCCGCCAAATCCAGAAGCTCAGAGCCAAACTATCAGATGTAGGAAATGGTCTGGTCAAGGTGGAAGAGCTTATGGGTACATGGGAGAAGACAACATCTCTCAACCGGCGGAAAAATGAGGATGCACGTCAAAAGCGCCAGGAAGAGAACGAGGAGCACAATGACGATCTGTTCAACAATGATGAAATCTCATATGCGGAAATGAAACAATTAGAGGAAGAATTCAAGAAAAAGGAGGTAGAGCTCAAAACACAAGAGGTGCAGGAGGAGTACAGGAGCTACATGGAGACCGTTTTCAACCCAGTCTACAACGGGCTTCAGGCAGAAATCAAGCAGCTAATGGATCTATACGACGAGGCCCAGCATCTCCTCCAAACGTCCGTGTCCGGTATCAGGAGTCTCGAAGGCAATGATCCCCCCAGCACCGAAGACTGTCTCGAGTTCCTAGAAGACATACACAAGCAAGCCGAAAAGCGACATGAAGGCATCGTCCGCATCGTTGCTGAGCGCGACCGCCTCTACAAGAAAACCGAGATCCAGCCTCTCTACGCCGCCGGCAAAATCAGCGCAATGAAAGACCTAGAAAAGCATTTCGAAGCCGCAGAGAAACAGGCTGTCTTTAACGCCAAGCGCGAAAAGGAACGACGTATCACCCACCTCGTCAGCTTCGTAGAAGATATCGTTGTTCACGCTCTGAGCACCGAACACAACGAGATCGACAACATACTCGCTACTATCAAGCGTCTGGATGACAGCACCGGCGACGCAGATACCCTTTCCCACGCTCACTCTACCCTAGAAGCCCTCAAGCACTCTTCCAAGGCACTACTCTCTCTCTTTAACGACCTCGAAATCGAACTTAATAGCGCCGCCGCAGACGCCGCGATCGCGCAGGCCGAAAGCGACAAGAGTGGTGTGGCGCGGGTGAGCGAGTTGCAGGCTGAGAAAAAGGAAGCGGAGAAGAAGTTGGTGGACGAGTATACGAGGAGAGTGAGGGTTTTGGAAAGTGATGAGGCGGCGATTAGGGAGTTGGTTGCGAGTAAAATGCGTAATAAGGGAAACAAGGGAAATAAAGGAAATGGAGACGGTGGGAAGGAGGAGCGGTTGCGTGTGGCGCTTGAAGAGGCGAAGAGGAGGAATGGACACGTTTGATTGAGATTAAGATTGAGATTGAAATCAAATTGAGCATGGAAACATTTAGATATATAGGGCGTTTTCCAGCGCCAAATTCCCGGCATCTCAACTATACTACACCAACAATTAATTCATCCTGGTCACGGACATTCTTCCTCCCCATCTTCCTCTCCCTCCTTCCCATCCAAATGCGTCCTCCGATCAATATCCAACCTCTTCTGAAAATACTCTCCAACCCCAAACTCGCTATACACCCCTCCTGCCTTCCTCAAATGCGGCAAAACACTGACCCGCGCATCCTCATTCGGACTAAAGAAAAACGGCATACTATACCTCTCCTCCCCTCCAATATTCCTCACGCGATGCACAGTACTCTGCCACGTACCCCCCGTCACCAATTTCAGGAAATCCGCAATATTAACGACAAAGGCGTTGGGCTCGTGGTGCACTGGGACCCAAATGCCATTTGCATTCAGCACCTCAAGCGCGGGATACGTAGTTTGCGACTGGCAGACGAGTGTGAACCAGCAGAAGTCCGTGTGCGCGCCTATTCCGACATCTGCCTCGCTTTGCTGGGGGGGATAATGCACCGCGCGGACATTGGTCATGGGGTGCGTGGTTATCTTGTCAAAGTGCGTTTCTGGGAGGTCGAGGGCGAGGGCGAAGATGCGGAGCATGCGTTTGCTGAAGGCGAACATGGCGCGGTAGTAGTGGTAGATGGCTGGGCGCCAGAAGAGGGCCGAGGGGTGCGTGGGCCATTGGTTGCGCGGGGTTTGGGCCGAGGGCGAAGGCGTCGAGGAGAGGAGGGAGAGTTGTTCGGGGTCGGTGAAGTCTTCGCCCATGAGGAAACCTTCTTTGAGATCTATATACATGGAAGGTGAGGCGCGTGAGAATCTGGTGTATATAAAATAAAAGTAGTGGGTATGTATGGGAAGGGCAAAGTGTGTGTATGTGTGTGGTATGTGTGTGCTTACCACCTCGTGTACTGGGATCTAGTTTTCCCTCCAAGAATGCCTCGTAGCCTCTGAATTTCTCCGTCTTTTGGTTGTGTGTTTCCATTTTGACGTCGGTGGCGAGGGCAAAGTATTTTTCTAATGCCTCAAAAGTGTCTTGTAGTACTTGTTCGTCTACGCCATGGTTCACTGCGTAGAAGAAGCCAATGTCTCGACAAGCAGCGCCTACTTCCTTGGCCAACTCTTTTCTGTCTTCAATCTTGTCCGAGTATATCCGCTGAAAGTCAATCTTGGGTAGTGCGCTGAATGTATCTTTTGCTGCGGTCCCTTTGAGTACGCGCCGTCGACCCGGTACGCCGCCGTCATGGTAGTGAACCCAAGTTTCAGACTGGGTTTCAGTTGTGGTAGTCGACATGTTTTACTTAGAAATTGACAGTCAAGATCATCCAAATAGCTCGAATACAGTATAATTCACGAATGCAAGTGGTCGCGGAAAATGGAAACGTATATACCATATGTAGAAAGCAACAGACGGAAGGCGCCACAACTACACACACTCTCCCCACCATCACTACCATCATTATCCATCCTACCGGCTGCTGTAGCCATGAAGATCCTGCAGGTGCAGGACTAGAATTGCTATATCAAGCCAATTAGGACAGACCACGTCGTGGGGCAAGGCGTAAGCATTGTGGCAAAAGCGAACCACACCTGCATGAACTGTACATTTCCACCTGGGGCCAGAGGACGGGTGGGACGTAATCCAAGACATTGTACATAGACGGGCGCTACATCTTTCGGAGAAGAGCGACTGGTGTGCAGACACGCCCTTGCTTTCATGAATCCTGATCCTGATGCACGGGCGGAGGGAGTGACTGGAGCAGGCATTGACCGATGGGCGGGTTGAATGCAAAGTGGGTGTGTGGACAGTTGAACTGCCAAAGGCAGTATGCAAGCTGCTCGCACACCGCGGAGAGGTTTGAAAGAGGCCAGAGCAGGTACGGGGAGGAAGGACCCTTGAATAAAGTACTCGTCAGTGCTCTTAAGTGTATTTCTTAACTTGTAACTTGTGAATAGTGCCTTTGCACAGCTTCTCTCGGACGTGCTTTGGGGCGGATGCCGCCATCTGCAGCCACGGCATTTTGCCGAAGAGACCCTTCCCCGAGTGGTTGGTCCTACAAGGTGATCTTTACGCCTATGACGAAACTTCCAGATTGGTATAGCATATTGTTGGCCATCGGAGTAGAGCGCGCTTGGACGGCTTTATTCGACTGTACATATACCGTGCAGGCACTAGCGTTCTGCGGAAGGGGGGAGCTGGTCCAGGTAGTTGTATTCGTACGACTCGGTAATTTATGACTGTATAATACGCATTGATACTATAAGTGGACAGATGGCATATTAACAAGATGATTCATTAATAACGCGGTGTGTAGTGGATGAAGGCGGCACATGCGTCAGGTAGTACGTAGGATTTATTGCCCCACAGTGGGTAAAGCGTCATGAATCCCCGCCTCCCCGCGCCCTCGCTCTTGGTCTTGGGGGCCGTGGCCCCAAGATCCCTAGACTTATGCTTGCATCTCAAAAATAGTAGCATGCCGATGCAAACACGATTCAAATATGCATAAGTGGGTCCTCTGGTAATAAAAATGGTATCCGTGTGCTATGTATTATGTGGACTTTAGAAGGTTTAGAACAAAAAAAGAAACAACTGCCGTAACACCGTGAACAGATAACACATTTATGTATTCATCGATCGTGCTTCGATAGTGAGGCGATTTGCAGATCGTTCGGGGTAATAACTAAAGCAGAACTCCTTTTTTACCCATCTATTACTTATCGAGAATAGCCCAAACCCCCCTGGGTATATTGTGAAATGCAAAAAAAAAAGTCAACAAACAAAAGCCGCAGTTGAAACTCCAAAAGACACGCAATTGACGCAGACTGCGGCATTTGGTAAAGTTTATTTCTTTCCCAGCTTATGCAAGAGATCCTTGCCCTTGCCCAACAGACCCTTTGCAGCACCGTTGTCGTCGTGTTTGGCTTCGTCGCTCTTCCCCGGTGCAGATGCGTCATTACCGATGACGTTGGCTGCACCTCCTCTGCCGTAGTGTTTGGGGCCTACAGTCTCTGGTTGCGGTGAGCTCTCGACGTCTTGAGCAGCGCGCGCAATCTCGGGGCGCTCGGGGTCGTTGCGAGCCATGTTTCCGGTTCCGCCTCGACCGGTGGTGTAGGTGTCGCCCTTGAGTGTCGGTGTGACGAGGTCTTCTGGCTTGGGATAGTTTGTTGGGTCGTCTTTTGCAATGTTGCCTTGTCGGGGTCAGTACAGGCAACAGGAAAATTCTTATGCGGCAAGCGACAGCCGGTATGCGACCAAGCTTCCACATTGACTAGAGCCTGGGTGTACTGGATGCAAAACTTCTCAGACTCAGCAGCCCGTCAAGCTGACGCTGCGAAACTGTGCTTATCAAAGACTCAGGAGAATGCAAGCAACTTACCAGCACCTCCGCGTCCGTGTGAGGCCACGCGCTGGTTATCCGTCGGTCGAGTTGCCATGTTCAGGGACGATTCGGTCAGAGAGAGAGTCGGTATGTAGAATTGGAGGTCGCGAGATGACTAGGTAGCGACCGGTGCAGAGAAAAGGAAATCAACAAAGACCCAAGGGATGAGGCGATAGAAGCTACCTAGCACGTCTTATATCGCACACTCGCTTGGCTTCTTTTGCAAGCAGTAAGCTGGGCGTCGACTCAAGACTTTTCGAGGGCGCTGGTCCGGTTCGCGCCAGGAGGACCATATTTTCTCGAGCACCATTGTCGTTAGCACCAGTAGCCTTGTCGAGCCTGGGCACGACGCACCAAACGGTGCTCAACCGTGTGTGATTTGGCGACGCCTTGCCCTCTGACCTGTTGAATCTTCCATGCTTTGTGCGTGCGTGACTCTTTTTTGGGGTTTCTGTGACTAAATTTTTAATTCATGGGGCGGGGTCGACAGACCCAGGCGGGGGGGTGCTGTAGTCTGCCATGAAGTGACACGGCTCCAAAATTAAGCGAATGTGGATATAGGAGAGCGCGTCTTTGATACAAAGAGAAATCAGGGTGTACTAGGGGTTTTGACGGTGACATGATTGCGAGTACATGTTATCTTGTGTGCCAGCGCGTGACGCAACCAGCATGCATGTAAGTACGTACGCAGGTGGGCGTGCAATGCCATTGCCATCTTTGCCGAGGCCGTAGGCGGCAGCGTGGGGGGAACGAGTGCGAGAACGATGCACTAAAGGTTCCACTTCTCCTCCACCACCTCAAACTTGACAGCTCTATTGCGCAACGTGTATTTGTATTCTTGTTCTTCAGACCGTGACGCGTTACATGTGTTCTTGGGGCGCAAAGTTTCAACACGATCAGCAGTAGCATGTTTCAAGCTTTATGTTTTGTATTGTTCTAGCGGTTACGCAAACCGTTCTTGAACTGTTCGGCCAACGACGCCGAAAGTTATAGTACAGTATAGGAAAAAAACGCCTCTCCAAACTTCATGAAACTGCCAATCAACCCGGCTAAAATCTTGGCGATGCATATCTCATGCGAGGTGATCGTCCTCGCTTCTTCATATGACAACGCCGTCTATGCATCCCAAAAGAGATTGCTTCAAATACCCAAATATACCCTCGCGTCTGTGTTTCGCAAAAGACAACAAGGAAGGCCCAAACGCCGAAGATGTGTTCCAATGTACAGGGTGGTGTGACAAGCCGTTGCCGGAAATCTAATCGCTCAAATAACTAGAAAAAAAAAGAGTTGTTTTTATACAGTGCGTGTAAGAGGTCTTGGTAGACAAGTCTTTTACGCTGGTGCGGCGCCATTGACGAATGCAATGGGATCGAATGGTCCAATTGGAGGGAGGGTTGGATGTGTAAACTGAAGCATGTTAGAATGTGTTGGTGGTGGTGGTGATGATGCGAAAGGGCCGGACGTACTTGGACACGAGGGTCTTGGTGTCATTTAACCTCCATCTCGTGGCTGAGGGCCGTCGCCGGCCATTGAGCACAGCATTGCTGAAGATTGTCTTAATCGAGCGCCTGGGTGAGGAGCTCCTCCGTCTCCGGGTTGGGGGTCGCCGTAGGAGAGGTTGAGAGTTTGCATGTCAAGTCTCATGATGATGATGGATATGGTGGTAGTGCTGATTGTATGTATGTATGTGTGTGTGTGTGTGTGTGTGTGTGTGTGTGTGTGTGTGTGTGTGTGTGTGTTCAAGCTTGAGTGTGAAAATGTGTGTGTAGTATTAATATTTGTATTGTAGTGATGTGATGATGGTAGTAGTAATATACAGTCTAGAGAAGGTACACGAGTATATAAAGATAGGAAATCCTGAGGCCTGTCATAAAACCAGCAGCCTACAAAAACAGGCAATGACTGCCTTCTCCAGGCGGTGACGCAGAGGACCATATGGTATTCCGCCCCAGGTGATGGAATTGGACTTGCAAAGGACGATAGACTGCGCCCTGTGCGGGAGGCAGAGCGGGCGGTGATTGGCCGGCGCCCTGACGAACAAGGCGACCACCAGGCTGCAAAGTCGAGTAGCGGCATTCTCGAAGACTCAGAATGCAGTCACACCGAGGGTGACTGGTTTAGTCGACCGGGAGTGCTGCGCAAAAGCGCCGGCGTCGAAGTGCGCATCGTGGGCTAAGGCAATATTCGCAGGCAGAAAGGGCGCCCGGTGGGGCGTGTGAATGGTGAACCAAGGTTCGTTGCCTGGGCTGGTGCAAGCGGCGGCCCCCAAATCCTGCACAGCCGCAGCAAAGCCACTGAGCCGTGGCAGACACGGCAGACTCGAGGCACTCTGCGAGTTTGGCCCCGTTGATAAATAGGGAGCGGGTAGCCCCCAAGTGCTCCGGCGAGCAATGGAGAGCGAGCTTTGAGTTGCTGCAATGGCGGATTCGGTCACCGGACCCTGACACACAGCCCGTGGCAGCAGCAGCAGCAGCAGCAGCACTTTCCGTATTGGGCGGCAAAGTGCTGCGCCCCGGAGGACCATGTCGTCGTGGGATACGCATCCAGGGCGGACTAGTGGAATGCCCTGCAAACCGCAAAAGCGCGCGCAATAAGATGGTAGTGCTGGTGACGAGGAAATGGAAGTCGCTTGCTGAGACAAAACGTATGGTGGGCGTGCTGAGGTGCAGGGTAATTGGGCATGTTGATTGGGCATGGTGGCGCAGCCATCCATTCATTTTTCCCAATGGGGAATTGGTTTTCCTGAGGCACCATGTCAGTCACAGGAACCAAGGACCACGAAGGACTTTATTTTATTTTTTGGAAGGGGGTGCGGCTGCAACTTACTGCCACCATCGCCAGGGGGGCCGCTGCCATCGGGCATCTTGGGCTTGTTTGTGGCGAAGAGCATGGTTGTTCTTGTTGTTGTTGTTGAGATGGGGGATTGAAGTGGTAGTAATAGTAATAGTAGTAGTAGTGTAGTAGAGTATGCGTGTGGTGATGGATGCGAATGTCCTGATTTGGGCGGGCGCAAGAGTGTTTATGAATGGGGACGGGACAAGACTATGTCTGAGACTTTAAGATTGACAAAGGCGGTTTTTGGGTTTGTCGAGCAGCGGTGCAGCGGGAGTATCAGTAGTTGTGACAGTGGACCGATAGTTGGGACATATTATATTTAACTCGCAAAGTCATGGTCCTTCAGCATCACCATGGACTGACGTCTACGCTTGGCCATGGGCTCGATGATGCATTCACGGGGCAACGGACGGGCCAGACGGGCACCCAGCAAGTACGTGGCCCTTTTCGGCGCAAGTCTGGAGCACATGTCGGGCGAAGTGAAGCAATTGCACATTGCTTCTCTGGGATGAGTCTTGTGCGGTGGATGCGAAAGGGGATGCAACAAGACAGAGCCGGCGCCCCCACTCTCTGGGGGTGAAACAGCCAATCGCCGTCCGGCTGAGCCTTCCCGGCGTCTCAAAGCGTCGTCGACAAGACGGACGGCCGTGCGCGGATAACATAAGCGGTCGCGTGTTTGTGAGGAGGGCCCTGCTGACGAGGCTGGGCTGGGCTGAGCCGCTTGCTTCACTCTCACTCTGCCCACAACGCCCGTGTCATGGACGACGACCACAACCTGCCACGGCTCCCAGCCCGCCACGCCCGTCTTTCTAGATGCCTTCTCCTTTGGTGCCATGCCGTCATAGGGCCACCGCGCTGCCAGAACACCCTCTCTTGAGCCCTCTGCCTCTGTCTGGTGCTCTCGGGCCTCCACCAATGCGTTGTCACTTACGTTCTGGCCAGCCACCCCCGACCCCCCCTCGGCCCGCCTGCGCAGCCAATGCAGGTACATTATACGTTGGATGTACGCACTCGATACTCCCATTCACTCATCCACCCACCAGCCCGCTGACGTTCACGGTCGCAACAAATGTCGTGCGCCGTGGGTCGCCGGCCATGGGTCAGCAGCGGTGGCATGTGCTGCGGAACTCAGCTTGAAACCTTCCGTCCAGGGTTTCATCCCTACACACACACTCTCTGCCCTAATGTTTGCGTGGCCTCTGCCATTGTGCCCTGGGCCTTCTTCGCTGCCTGCTTGCCTGCCTGCCTGCCTGCCTTTCCGCCTAGACGGCACTATCTCCTGAGACAAACTGTACTTTGTGCTGTAACATAGTCGTCGGCCTGCCAGGGGGGCAGAGCTAGGCACAACCTTTCGCCTACTGGACCGTCCGCCCCGTCCCAGAATAGCCCCAGCCTACCACGACGGTGCCCTGAATATTGCCCTTGCACCTGATTGCCCTTTGGTTGCCTGTGGTTGCCCATGGTGCAGAGCACGTGAGACCCTTCAATTGCTGACAAGGGCTGCAGCCAATGCCTTGCCCTCTCCTAATGTTTTGCCCGCGCTCTTGCGACTCTTCATAAAACACCACGCTTCATTTACTCGCTCTGCCTTCCCCACTAACGGCCTTTGTTTCGCCCATCAGGGGCAGAGTCTAGAGCTTTCCACTCCACGTGGCAGCCGTCTCCCATTTGCATTTGCATTTACTGCGTACATTTGGCCTTTGCATTGGCATTGCCATGGCCCGTCTGCATAACTCAACCCTCTCACTCTCTTCACCACTCCTATACATAGCAAGTGTGAGCTTTGCTTATGCGACCGCCACGGCGTCTCGCTCCACGTTGCTTTTGGCGAGTTGCCGCAACATGTCAGTTTGCTTCATTTCCCTCCATGTCCTGCTGCCACACTCGTCATCAACCAGGCCCGAAGCCCGGCTCCGCTTTTGCTTCTTTGCCTCTCGCTCCCCCGTGTTGCCGTCTATGATGCATCATTGCGTTTCCCACTGCTCAAACTCAATTCCAACTTGGCACACGCAGCTGCAAAGCCAAGATGATCCTCACAAACCCTCCAGGCACGGTTCTTCTTGCTGGAAACATTGCCCTGCCCCTACGCCTTCCCCGTGTGATGTAGTCGATAGATGGGCTCTAGCTGCGGGGCGATCAATCTGGTGCCATGTCGGATCGACCAGACCCTGCCGCCAGGCCCAAGCCGTTAACCGTCACTGCTCCACCTCAGCTGCAAACAACCCTCTGCCCCCGCGACCACCACGCGAAACTTCGCTGGGCCCAGGGTATGGGCTAAACACTTGTTGAAGATCTTTCGAGGAAATCATTCCTATCTACCTCAATCATGCCGCCAAAGTCAAACTTCAAGCGGGCCATGCCCCAGACACAGCCGTCCATGCTGGCGTCGCTGCGCACCACGCAGCTCGTGGGCGACTCAAAGGCCGTACTACCTGCAGGTACGAACTACCCAGTTCATGGGCTCACTCGTCTGACCATGACTTGCAGAGCTCATCAACACCATCCTCGACTATCTGCCCGTCGCCGACATGTTCAACTTTGCGCGCACCTCGAGACGTATGCGCGAGATGGTATACGACGACACAAGATGGCAGCAGAGACTGAGGAGCATGGGTTGCTGGAACGAAGCAGAGGCCAAGCAGAGGTTTGAAGAGGCTATGAAGAAGAAGTTGCAGACACAAAGAGCAGAGGATGCACGCATAGCAGGCGTTGTACCCAATAGCAGCACCAGCTCCATGGCACCGGGCAACGACCACGTGGGCAACACCAGCATGACTCTCTTCGATGCTGCCATAGAAGAGGATATGCTGCGCAAGTCCCAAGACCACCAAGGCCGACCCCGCTCCACGACGCTCGACAAAGGCTTCAACGACATGACCCTGTCGGCATCTGGAACACTAGCCCCAAGTTCCTACATCGTCGACCCACAAGCTGCTGTCAAAGTACTGGCGAACGTGCGTTCAATACGGGGCATGGCACGACAAGAGTATGGCAAAGTCTATGGTGCCTTGGCTCCCTTTTACTACGACATTGAGAGGTCGAGAAGTCATGCCGATCCCATATTATTTCGAACGTACCGTGACCCGGAGCAGCAAGCCCAGATGCTTGCCCAGCTCAAGGTATTTGCAAAGAGCGACTATGCTCAAGGCTGGCATCAGCGTGAGGAAAAACTCGATACAATGACTGGCATCTTCGAGAACGCCGTGCTTCGCGAGTTCGAGCAAGGCTACGCCGAAAAGGATTTTGATGGCCGCATGAAGCGGTTTGCATCAGTCTTGGTAGCCTTGAATAGCGGTGCAGCATGTCTAGACTCGTTTATCCACAATCACCCGTTGATGTTGGACAAGGAGAGGCTCGGAGATCCCTCAGATTGTTTGCAAGGTAATGAGGTGACTTTGAAGCCGTCGCATGAATTTTTCAAAGGCCTAGCTACCGAGCTCAATAACGAGGCCGCCATCATTGATCGTGTTTTCCCGCCTACGGTTGACGTTCTACAGACCTTTTTAGAGCGTGTTGCAGACGACGTCATTACAGAGTACCTCACAACTCTTTTTGACCAGGCTCACGACGTGAGCATCGAAGCCTATTTGAAAACTGTTGCTGGCATTTTCGACCAAGCGCTGCAGCTTGCAGTGTCCCTGCATCCCACCAAGGCCTCCAAGCCTGATTTCCAACAAGAGGCGATTCGAATCATAACGCGGTGTTTTGAGCCCCATGTCGATCTTTACCTGCAAGAGGAGTTGGATTATTTCAAACGCAAGTCGGCGGCAGAGGTTGATGTGTGGGAGAAGCGACTGCTAGAAGAAGAGCTAACCACTGAAACTCGGTTCATGGCAAATGTGAACCGGAAAGCTGTCAAACAAGATTTTCTGTCGTCGTTCAAAAAGGTAGTCATGATGCCCGTCAATGTGCTGCCCACCATGGGCGGCTCGGGTGCGAGTAAATCCAGCGCAAATAGAAATAGTACCTTGGATCCAACCTCGAGAAGTGGCACTCCGATCCCTGGCGATGGGATCTCGACCCCACGGATGGACGCCCCAACGACTGAACTTGCTGCCAAGGCGGCCATCATGAACTCGCGGTTAGAAGGAATTAGATCCCTTTTCAGCATCGAGGTTGCCCTCAATCTGACGCACATGGCCAAGACCAGTCTCGAACGTGCTGCTCGATTTGTCCAGCTTGGCGGCCAGTCTGGTGAAGAGGCAAAAGAACAGTCGGAACAGATTTTCATTCACCTTGTGCAGATTCTCGGCAACCGCCATATGAAATTAGGGTTTGACAAGGCTGTCAGCCACCTTGCGGATTACAAGCCGAGAGAGGTGGCGGACCACAGCCAAGAAGGAGTTGCGCCACTCGTGGCTTTCCTGGAGCTTGTCAATGTCGGAGACCTTATACAGCAGATGGTCGAAGTCTTTTATCTCCAGGAGCTTGTTGCTGCCAATCTCACAGATCGAGATGATTTCCTCAGCCTGGCAGCAAAGGAGAAGAAGCGATTTGAGGCACAACTCGACGAGAGCGTGGCTGCAGGTCTCAACAAAGGTATTGATGTGCTGATGGACGAGGTCGAGTATCTTTGTGGTACGACGCAGGATCCGACCGATTTCAACCCTCCGATTGGGCCCAATGGTGTGGTAGAGATGTCAGACATTGGGCCGAGTCAAACAGCACTGAAGATTGTGGAAGTTGTGTCGTCGCACACGAGCATGCTCATTGGCAGCACAGACAAGAACGTGCTTGATGTGTTCAACCAGGAAGTAGGTGTGCGCCTGTTCACTGCTCTTTGCAAACATTTAAAGCGGCAGAGAATCAGTGTGGATGGCGCCATCAAGCTCATTAGGTAAGTAGCACCTGGCACTAGATGCAAACGGGGCATCTACTGACTACATGCAGCGACATGAATGCATACAACACGTACATTGTCTCTCTGCGTAACAAACCGCTCATCCAGTACTTTGCTGCGCTGCGCGAGCTCTCACAGATATATCTGATTGACGCGAAGCAAGCCAAAGAGATTGCCACGATCATTGCGGATACAGACCGGTATCACGGCATCTTCCGGGCGGAGGAGGTGTACGAGTTTGCAGAGAGAAGGGCGGACTGGTATCAAATCAAAAGCGCAGTAGAGAAGCAAATGTACGGAGTCGGCTGCTGGGTCATGTGAGGACTACCGGGTTGAGCGAATGGCGCAGGCTGAGAAGGGATACAGGACTACCGCTTTTGGACGAATATGTATGCAGTCTGCGGATAGGGCAAGTGGTGCGAGAGAGAAGTGTAAAATCCAAGCCGTTTGTTTGGTGTGTGCATGTGTACGAGGACAAATATCGTGTGTGTATAAGCAGTCTATAGCTATGTGTATGAGATGACGGGCGGTTGGTGCAAACATGTGTTAGCTGGGAGAGTGAAGGCGAGGGCGCGGTAGTGTTCGGGGTTCCCCAGCCTCCTTCTCCTCCAAGGTCGGCCCGTACCTGACTAGACCGCGCCCGTGCATGTACGTCTTCACACCTCATCGCGCATGTCTCGATTGCCGCAGTCTGCCTTAGTGCCAGCCTCTGTATCCAGCAAACCTCTGCGACGGTGTCCTCTGCTGCATCTCCGGCTTCTGCGTATACACAAGCTGCATTCAACGCCCCTGTGCCACTCATCTGCTGCCCGTGACTGGACCCCGCCACGAGTGGTCGGCACAACGGGACCGCTCTAGAGGCTGCGAAGTGTTTGGCTGCACCTTGGCTGCTGTCTTTTAGCTGTCTCTTAGCTGTCTCTGACTCTGGGCCGCGACCGCAATAGTTGCTTGCTGGGTGAGAGCCTGCTGGCGACGCTTTGGCTCCCCAACGACGCCCTGTGTAGACCTTCTGCGCCTGTTGCGCGAGCCTTCCTCTCACACGCTCCGGCTTCTGCGTCTTGCAATAACTGACCGTGCTTCCCACCCATCGACCTTGTAGTTGCGACTCTCACTACTCCGAGCAAACACCACAGCCATGTCGGGTAAGCATCCGCTCGCAGTCTGCCACGCGCCCACGGCCGCATGCTAACATGGCGCATCAGACCCTCTCCCCGCAGAGGTCGAGGCCTCGTACTCGGTCATCATTGACGACATTCTTCGGGCGAGCGATATAAATACCATTTCTGCGAAGCGCATACGAAAGGGCATACAGGAAAGAGTCGGCGAGGACCTGTCGCATCAAAAGGAACAAATCACCACGCTCATCATGCAGCGCTTCGACAAGTTCAACAGCGAGCAGAACGGCGGCTCTGATGTCTCGGAACCCACAAACACGGTCAGGAATGGCACAAAGACATCCAACGGCGATACATCAGACATGTCCAACCATAAGCGATCGCCGCCCGATGACGAGTCTGTGCTGTCGGGGCCTGACGAGAACCCGCCACCCAAGAAGAAGAACAAGAAAACCAAGGTGAAAGATGAGGATGACGACGCGGCGTTTGCAGCCAGGTTACAGGCAGAAGAGAACGCGCGCATGGGCAGGGCAACACGGGGCGGAAACACGAAGCGGAAAGCGCCCGCGCCTAAGAAGAAGGCCAAGAAGAAGAGCGCAAACAAGGTCAAAGACGACGACGACAGCGACGTTGGCTCAGGCAGCGGCGGCGAGAAGAAGAGCCCAAGTCGGAAAGGAGGCTTCCACGTTAGTTTTATCTCATACATCTTTCACGTTTCGGGAACCAAAGAACTAATCCATCTAACTTCATTTTGCAGAAACCAATGGCCCTCTCCCCAGCCCTGTCTGAACTGCTCGGCGAAACACAACTTTCACGGCCCCAGACGGTCAAGAAGATTTGGGAATACGTCAAGGCGCGCGACCTGCAAGACCCCAATGACAAGCGCCAGATTCGCTGCGATGACGCTATGCGCGCCGTTTTCAAGCAAGACCGTGTTCATATGTTTACCATGAACAAGATTCTTAATCAGAACCTGTACGCTGTGGATGAGGTGGTGAGTTAAAGTTGGGGTTGGTTAGTAGTTTTGTTTGGGGGAGAGTGTCAGCCAACAAAAAGCTACATACACGACTATTTGCTTAGTCTAATGCTTCCCCCTATTTTTTTCATTCTTCGTCTCTGTCCTTTTATTTCTTTCGTCCTCCTGAATTTGGATCTTTCGAGTGGCATGGCGTATTCACGGTAAGGAGGTGTTTCTTTTTTCAGCGTGCATTCTTTCTTATGGTTATTTTCTTTCTCAAGCAGAGGAGGATCGGGAGGGTTTTTCACTTTTGCCCTTTTTGAGTATCACACCTCTTTTTCTCTCTCATCTCCCCGCTAAAGGAGAGGGATAGTCAGGGGTCCGTGATACTCTATCGAAGCATAAATAACATACATATATAGCATATATAGCATATATACATATAGGGCGAAAAGGTGCGAATGGGATCGGGAATGCATGCGAATGCGCAAGGCAGGGCTGGAGAAATAAGCGAAATAAGGGAGGGAATGGGAAAGGGTAGTTGGGAATACATAAGACAGCATATGAAGCTAGCCATTTTTTTTTCACTTGAGTCAGTGGGCCTTTTTGAGCGAATGGAGTGTTGTTAAAAACAAGTATTGAATATGCGTGATGTTGCTTGGGAGGTGTGAGACATTGATCCAGAGTTATGTCGATTTACAGCATGGTTACCACATTGCGATATATCACAGTACTTCACCAGAGACACAACAAAACCAGGCAAAAGAGGTAGATGTACATGTATGGCATGAATTCATACCATTCACACTCAAGTTTAACCCATTACAACTAAAAGAAAGAAAGAAAAAAAGACAAAGAAAGAGGTATCCAATATCCACATATACTCCAGCAGCCCCAGAAAACAGAAAGAAAAAAGATGTCACAGTTTAGTAATTTACACATGGCTGCATGTTCTTCTTCTTCTTCTTCTTCTTCTTCTCGAGTTCGGTTCATCTCGCCTCTCTACTTTCAACATGCTAGAAGCCTTCTGGGAGCTGCAGCTGGAATCCAGCGTCATCGTCATCTTCCTCCTCAGCGAGCGCAATATTTCCATGCAACTGGTTGCTAAAGTTCTTGGTCCACGCGTCGTCGTCTTCATCGTCAGAACGCGCGAGCAGCAACAACTCCATTTCGCGCTCAAAGTCTTCGGCGGTACGACGAGGCTGCTCGTCCTCTGCGGATGAAACCAGCGTAGCGTTGGTAGAAGTGGAGCTGCAGCGAGAAATGGGGCCTCGAGAGCGGCCAGTAGAAGCACTGGTGCTCGCGCTGCGCACATGGCTGGTTGAGACGGGGCGGGCTATGGCTGAGAAAGGCGCAGGCTTGGTGACGTTGGAGAGAGGCTTGCGCGCTGCTGGAGCAGCACGTCCAGCACGACCTTGAGCATAGCCAATTGTGTTCTTGGACACTACTGAAGCTGAGACCTGGCGAGAGGCTGTCATTTCTGTAGGTGTCTTTGTTCCTTTCCTGCCAAAAACTGGTCCAGTAGGTACGCGCGATTTGGCGGCTACAGTAGGAGCAGCATAGCTGGGCTTTGAGGTTGGGAGAAGAGCGGCTGCTGCAGATCGGGCGCGTATAGTCGATGGTCCAGTTGGAGCCTTTCTAAGCGCAGAAACGGACGTTACTGCTTTGGGTGCTGCCTCTTTCTTCGGTTCTTTGATGCCATAGTATTCCCTCATCTCAGCGTCGTCCTTGGCCATTTGGGATGCAAAGATCTTCTCAAAATGCTCATCGCGCTGCTTGCGGCCCTTCTGGAGTTCTTCCTCAAACTTGCGCTGCTCGCGCGTGCGTCCGTCGTCCTCAATTGGGTTGTGGTAGGCCTGCCAGATGCCGCGCACCATGTCCTGCTCGCTGATCTTGGGAATAGTCCAGTTCCTGGGGAGGTACTCATCCATATCATCCTCGAGCGGAACCTCCTTGGGGGGCATGTACTCGATTTCGGGCACGTCATCTTCAGACTCGTGGGCGACTTCAGGCTGGTGGACCTTAACTTTTGGACGACGTAGACGCGGGCTGAGCTTCTGCGTCTTTGCAGAGGAAAGAGGCGCTGGCGTCGCAAAGGCTCTGGATTTGGCATTGGTCGTTTTCATTCCCAACGGCGCACGCATACGAGGTCCTAGATACATCAGTTTTGGTGAAGGCATTACGCGCCTATTCCGTCATACCGGCTGGAGTAACAAAGGCATTCTGGTCAACTTTTCCACCCTTGCCGCCTGTAAATAATTCGGCTCCCTTGCCTTGAGTCTGCAGAAGCGATTTCGCGCCTTTGGTCACGGCATTTTCGTCGTTGAGCGGGATCTTGAAGGGCGTCTTGGGGGCTTTGTTTCCTGGTGTTTTGGCGTTGAATCCCTTGATGCCCGCGTTTAGCGACTTTGAGCCGCCGGCGGCGTGCAAATGGCGGACGGCGTTTTCCTGGTCGTTTGCTGCGAGAGTCGTCATAGCGGTGGTTACATTGAGCGAGTCGTGTGGGGGGTGGCGGGCGGCGAGCGGGGGTTGGTGGAGGGAGATAGTCGGGGTGGATGCTTGTGTGTTTACTGGCGGTTGCTGGGGCGGCGGCGGCCAAAGAGGGTCTGGGCTGGTCAAAAGGGTCCGGGCGGAGGTAGTCCCTTTCGGCAACGCTTGCCCGCATTGTCAGCTTGCACACCCCAACTGCCAGGCACATTTCTCAGACATCCACGACAACACACCTGCTCCGCTCCATTCCACTATATAAGCTGCTGACCTCTCCACCGTCTCCGCAGCACCACACTACGCAAACACTCCTTCTTCCCATTCACACTCTTCACACCGCCCGCCACCATGGATCAGATCAAGAAGGTGAGTCGATGCATACCCCGCCAATGCCCCTTCCCACCATGCCCAACCCTACCTCTGACCGACGCCACATTCACGTCCTTTAAGGCCAAGATGGGAAACACACGCTAACATGGCCTTTTTGCACAGCGCATGGAAGCTCTCCGCGTCGAGGCGGATGAGAGCAGCGCCCGCGCTGAGGAGCTCAAGACAAGGGTCAAGCAGCTCGAGGCCGAGACGACACAGAAGGAGCAGGAGATCACCTCGCTGACGCACAAGAACTCTGTGCTCGAGAGCGAGGTTGAGAAGCTTGAGGGGCAAGTCAAGATCCACAAGGACGAAGCTGGTGCAGGCGCTCAAGCCGGCACTCAAGCCGAGAGCCTCCAGCGCAAGATTCAAGTTCTCGAGGAAGAAGCTGAGGAGTCGGACAGGACGATCCGCGAGCTCAATGAGAAGTACGATTGCTCTCTTTTCCATGCCTTCCGATGGATGGCCTTCTGCCATTACCACTGCCACCACCACTACTCACCCCCCTGATCTGCGTGTACTGACTCGCTACCCCTCTTAGGCTCCGCCAAACCGACGTCAAGTCCGGCCACTACGAACGCAAAGTCCAGGCTCTCGAGCAATCCCGCGACCAGTGGGAATCCAAGTATGAGGAGATGGCCAAGAAGTATGCCGACACCAAGAAGGAGCTCGACGACTTTGTCAAGGAGATCGGTAACATCTAAGCTGGTTTTTTCTTATTGTTGCGCCCTTGCGACTGTATTCAAATAGGAAACAAGGTGCTTTAGCTTACCGTGGGACCGTCGAGATAGAGGCAGATTTCACACACACATGACATTCGCGTACAACCCCCCTACACTACTACTATACAACTGTTTCTTTCCTGCGGCTGCTTGCTGGGCGGGCCTGTTCGCCTTTTGTAATCCCTGAGCAAATACAACGTTGGTGGTTCCCGCCGGACATACGTAATACCCCCTTTGAATCACACAGTGCGTTGGCCGCCGTGCATGATGAGATGTGTACTTACTGATGGGAGGGGGTTCTATGACCCCCTGGATAACATGAGCCGCGGACATACCGGGACGGAATTGTGTCAGATGTTTGTGCTTTGTTGAGCAAACTGAACAAAGTTATGAAGGGTGGGGGGGAAGGGGGGGTATCATTTTTGTGTATTCCTGCACAAAGCTCTCGAAAGCTCTACCTACCACCAGCGTAAACGCTCACAAGACAATGCAGATGCAGAGTGAGATATCATGTCGCGTGTCTACTAATTTTTGTTCGTCCTAGCCTCCTTTTGCTTCCTTTTCTTCATGCCCTGCTTGATGCGCTCCGCCTTCCTCTCCGTCTTAGTCTCGTACCTAAACTTTTTCTTCTTCTTCTTGGGCTTATCGCTATTCTTGGGCCACGCCTTTGTCCACACCTTCTTCTTGTTGCTGCCATTTGCCGCTGCAGCCTCTGCCTCTGCGGCCTCCTGTGCTTTCTTCTTGGCCTCCTCGTCGTGCTCGTCGTCTTCGCCTGGCCGCGAGAAGCCAGACCTGGATATGTTTACGGATTCCATGGTGACGGTTGTGTATTTGTCTTCGTCAATGTACTCGTCTTCTTGATTGATGGGCTCTGGTTCTTGGAATCCTGTGAATTCTTCTTCTCCTTCGTTGCCGTCTTTGTTATCATCGTCATTGTCGGAGTCCGAGTCCGAGTCGGCGGAGCTGAGGTCGCCGTTTGCTTGCTTGACTAGCCGGTTTACTTCTTCGACGTGTTTTTCTAGGTCGGCTTTGCGCTCGGCGCGGAGCTATTGTACCATGTGTTAGTCGCATGTTACGTTGTATATGCTGAGGATGCTGGGCGCTGCAAGTAATGCTGCGCTTGTGCTTTTCCAACCTGACAAACAAGTCGAACACGTACCTCTCGCCTAAACCTCAATTTCTCCTCCTTCTCACGCTTCGCATTTTCTTCCTGGGCGTGTTTTTTTCGCTCGAGCTTGCGCTTGTGGAACCCGGTCAGGTATTCTTCGCGCGCCGCAAAGTCGAATTCGATTGTTTCGGGCGCCGTGACGGCGAGCTTGCGTTTCTTGTTGGGCGGGCCCATGATTGCGTCGAAGGTTACCAGAAATTAGCAGGACCTTGTGGAGACTAGGCTGCAGGACGAGTGGTGCTGGGATGTTGCTGTTGCGCTGGTATTGCGACAGGTGGGAAAAGTAGTTGCGGAGTTTGCCAAAATTACCTGCATGGCAGGGATCTGGTAGGCATTAGGTAGTCTGGGTGGAGCCGAGGCTGGTCCCTAACCTACCTAGACTTAGACTAAGGCATCACTCTTACCACCATCACGATCGTGACAGGCTAGATGAAATTATTGTGATTGAATTATCTACTTCAGTGGTAGTCATGACTCTCGTTTCTCATTGATTGTGAGTATTGCGCTCGACGCAAAATAATAGGTTGAAGCTAGAAAGACATCAATCATGAACATAGAATCTACAACACCAACCAGCCTGACTGGACATGCAAGAAGACGTTCTCATCGTCCATAAATAGCATGTAGCCAACTGGACCTATCCTTGTTCTATGCATCAACTTTTCCATCTTCTGAGTCATGGATACCAAGTATCTTCCTCCTCCATGAAAGTGACTCGAGATGTTTCTTCGCCCTGTGCGTAAGACACAATGCCGGATCAACACTCTGAAGGCCAGGCTCGCCAAACATAGCGAGAACCATCAAGCCCAGAAACGAGTGGTACATGTCCGGCGGGTCTCCGGTAACCTTGCCAAAGCCCCCAACAGCATGTTGTGTCTTGTCCAGCAACCATTTCCTGATGGGTTGCGAATCCACGATGTTGAGGTGACCGAGCAGTTGCAAAGGTGTGCATGTCCAGTAGGCGTAGCATGTATCGGCAATCTTGTTGCATCTTCCGTTGACACCAACCCATTGCAGGTCGTAGTGAACATTGGGTCTTACTTTGGAGTCCTCTTGGGCCTGCGTAGATGGATAGGAGCCCAACTTTACAAAAGAGTGCGCGTCGTGACAAGTCTCTGGGGAATCGGTCTCGTCTTCCATAGTGTCTAGACTGTCCTCCTCGTCTAGGGTCAGAGTTTGTCGGGACACAAGCCAATGTAGAGTATTTTGAACATTGGAGACTCCGCGGATAACACCATCGGGCTTTTGCGAGGACGGTAGCGGTAAGCGGTTCAGAAAGGCAAGTGCAGCAATGGCGCAACAGGTGAATCCAGCATGTGCTTCATGGTAGGGTGCTTCGGAAATGCCTCCGTCGTAGCATTCCGATGCGCGGACGCATGTAACAAAGGCGTCAACATCGATGTCTGGGATGCCTTCGCATGGCCCTTCAAGGTTTCCGCGTAGCATCCATCGAATGGCCGTGGCCATGTATCCGAACCTTGAGTCGTTGCCACCATGCACATAGCCACCCTCGCCGAGCGTCTCACCAAAACTACCCTCTGGCCTTTGCATTTGGACCAACCACGTCAAGATTTCTTTCCTCTTAACCTTTTCCAGATCATCGCCGAGAACAATCAACGTCAGGAGTGCAAAGAAGGTTCCCGGGATATGGGCAGGGTCCCAGATTTTGTTGTCGTCATTTCTGAGCTCGCCGTAGTTGGACCCTGGCCAAGGACGGAAGCCGCCCTCTGGCAATTGGCAGCCATAGACCCAATCGATGTGCCCTTGACGCTCCTCAGAGGACAGGGCTGCGTCTAGATCGCCCAGGATATCGAGGGCAGAGACGGTGAAGAGGGCGAGCAGCATGCGGTTGGAGTCATTGCTGGTGTAGAAATGGGGCAGCAGTGTCTTGAGGTTTCTGCGCCAGTACTTGATGTGGCGGGCATAGTTGAGTTGTGTGCTGTCGAGGCCAGAGGGAGCCATGATGGAGACTTACTGGGTTGAACCCGGCGTCTTTTGCCGAGCGAGGTGCTGGTGCCCCTGTGCAGCCTGCGAGTCTGATGGCTGCGGGGCTGTGGTTGCAACCCAAGGCGGATGCGTGAGTGGGTGTGTGTATTTCTGCAAGGCTGAGAAGGATCAAGAGGGCAAGTGCAACACCAAACTCGGCCCGTAGCGTGCACACACTCACGCTCACACGCACACACACACGCCGGTTGGAGCATACACAAGCCACCTGAGACTAATTAGTCGACTGTCGGGCAGGCGCTGGATGCAGACTGGACTAGTAAGTAGTAGTACTGGCGTGGTTGTTGTTGTGGTGGTGGTGTTGGGGCTGATGGGGCGTGGATGGTGCTAGTAAGTAGTACTGTATGTACGCAGCCGTGTATGTAGGCAGGAGTACATGCTTAGTGTACCATGTCCTCTACTAGTAGTAGGGCAGGGCAGGGCAGTGCAGTACTGCATACGTACTTGGAACGGTAGTCATCAGCGGGCTGACCAGGCCCTAGCCGACGCAGGGGCAGCGTTAGGAGTCGGTCAATTGACGACGACTGTACGAGTACATATTTTTACCATTGGCCATGGCGACTAAAGGCCAAATGTCGGGCAAAAACCCTGGCTGGGCAGAAGCTATTTGGCTGCTGGGCTGCCTGAGCCAGCCCTGTCACGAACAAAGGCTGCAGGGGTGGTGGGATGCGACATCAGCTCTGCCACAGCGGCTGGCCTGCAAAAACCCCTCCTGAGGCGGCTGCATGATACCCTATTATCCTATGTAACTTCAGTCAGCCTGGCTTCTGCCCTCGCCCGTCACGCGCACCTTGCCCCTTCTAGTCGTCACTCTTTCTCTGCCTGGGCCCTCCGCCAGCAGAAACGCCGCCGAAACGTCTGAGGCCGCGCAACTTTCTGCCATACATCACCGGGTCCGCGCTTGCGTGTTCGTTCCCCAGGCCTATCTTCTCCACGCTCACTACGGCCGTTGACCGACCACCCACCAACAACCCAATATTTTCTTTTCTCATACAACCCTTCCCTCAAGAGTAGTCACCAGTCGAGTGCTGCCTGCTTGCAAGCTGCCGCCATGACTACCGGCTTCGCTGCGTCATTCTGGTCTAGCGACTATGCCGGAGGTATGCCCTGACGCCGCTCCCAATACTGCACCACCTGTGCTGACCTTGCAGGCTTGGGTGTTCTCTTTGGAAAGCTCCAGCAGGGAGTCCAGGAGAACCAGCAGATTCTGACCGTTGCCCGTATGCGAGCCGATGCCGAAGAGGTCTACGGAAACTCGCTGGCTGCCATTACATCAGCCACTGAGCGCATAGCCGGAGGCTTCAGTAGAGATGAGGGCGCAAGTGTGCGAAAGGTGCGTGTCGCACAGTACCTGCCTATGCCCAACCGCTGACCGTTGACCGCTAACCCTCACCAGGCCTACGAAGGCGTGCGCACCGAGATGGAGGCAGCTGCTGTGAACCACAAGAAGATTGCGTCCAACATCCGAGAGCTGGTTGTGAGTCCCTTTGGCCGCTGGTGCGAGGCGCACGCTGCCCGTGTCCAAAACTCTCAAGACGACCTGCAATCGCGCATTAAGATCCACGACCGCCAGGCCGATGCCGTCCGCAAGTTCCGCTCACAATACTACAACAAATGCCGTCTAGTCGAGGATCTCGAGGAGGAGGACAAGCTCGCTTTCCAGGACCCCCAGAGTGAAGCTGCACAGAGCCCAAAGGTCAAGGTACCTACTATCAAGATGTCTGAGCCCGAGGACGAGGAAGAGGAGCCCATCGATCTGGGCGATGAGACATACCAGCCCGACCAAGTCAAGAAGATCCTCACACATATGCTTGACAACATCAAACTCAGCGAGGTCAAAGTTCCCATCCTGGGCACCTACCAGAATTGCTCAACTGGTGCCGACATCACCGAGTACATCCAAAAGCACATGGGTGCTACTACCATCAGCTACGCCGAGCGCATCGGTCAAGACATGGTTGCCCATGGCTTCCTGCGCCTTATTGGCAACGTCGGCAACACGTTCGCCAACAGCTCTCGAATGAACTACCAGTGGAAAACCAAGGCTTTCCAGATTACCGGATTGCCTGAGAAGAAGCAGCCCATGACACGCTCCTCCACTACCATGTCGAACTCATCGGCCGATAGCATCGCCGTCGACACTCCTGTCGGAACCGTGCAAGAGTATCTGCAGGGATGGAACCCACTTAACAACCAATACCCGAATGAGACACCAGCAGAGAGACTGAGGCGAGAGGCTCGTGAAGCTGATGAGCGATACAAGGCCTCGGTGAAGAAACTCGACTCCTTGAGGTGTAATTTGGAGGAGGCAATGGTGGATCATCTCAAGTTCATGGAGCGCTGCGAGCTGGATAGACTCAAGGCCATCAAGGCGGTCATTCTGGACTTTTCTGGAGCCGTCAGCAACGTCATTCCTAGCTTGCAAAGCACTGTGGACAAGATGATGCTTTTCCAGGAAACGGTGCAGCCGCTGGGTGATTTGCGGTACATGCTTGAGAACTACAGGACAGGCCCATTTGTGCCAAAAGTTATGACATACGAGAACTACTATAACTCTGTGGATGGTACGGTGCTTTCGAGTTCTACTTTTTATGAGATACTGACAGTCACGCAGAGCAAACCTTTGGTGTAGATCTGGAGGCTCGCGCGCGCTCGGACAAGAAGCGTGTGCCAATAATCATCACTACCATACTCACTTTCTTGGACAACCACTACCCTGATCTTGAGGGCGACGAGGCCCGTCGGGGGATCTGGCTAGTCGACGTACCTCTGTCCCAAACTCACACTCTCAGATCCGAGATCAACACTGGCAAAAGATTCCCTGACGACCTGCTTGAGAAGTATGACGTGCCAATTGTTGCTAGCGTCCTCAAGCTCTACCTTCTGGAACTTCCTGGTATGCATTTCACGAGACAACTATAGGCTCTTTTACTGATTGCACTAGACTCACTGGTTTCTTCCCATGTTTACGAAATTGTCAAAACCATTTACAGCACTACTGCAACCGACGTCTCTGAAGAGACAAGGATTTCTGTCATCCAGTCAACTCTTGGCCAGCTGCGTCTTGCCAATATTGCCACACTGGATGCTATTTGCACACACTTTACCCGTCTTATTGAGCTGACATCGGCTGATGAGACGTATGTCACGGCGCTAGCCAATACGCTCGCGCCATGCATCCTCAGGCCCAAGCAAGAGTCAAGTTTGACTATGAATGAACGATACAGTTACCGCCTGGTGCGCGATCTGTTTGCGCACAAGGATGCGATTTTCGGAGAGTTGAAGCGCGCTAGCACACTCACACACTCATCCTCCGGCGCCCAGCGCCCCCGTGCAATCTCTACAGATGAGAGTAACCGACGTGCAAACATGGAGGAGCGGCAACGTGCCATTGCTGCTCAGCGATCACCACGGGCAACCTCACCAGCGCCTGGCTCGCGAGTATCAGGATCTCATCGCCGAGACCGAAGCGCCACACGATTCCCAGTCAACACATCATCACCTACTGATTCGCGAAAGGCCAATGGAAACCGTGGATCGCTTGAAGTACCCGGAAGTGATGATAGTTCTACCGGCGAAATAGCTCCTGCTACTACAAATGGTGCCCCCGAGGCTACTCCGGTCGAGCACCCTGCGCCCTCAAGTACCAGGGTACCTTTTCCCCGGAAGACTGCTGGCAGCTTGACGAGAGGCAACAGGGACTCAACCGGTAGCACCAGAAGTGAAGACACAGCGTCCCGAGGCGTTACACTGGAGGACAAGCCCATGGACGACTAGTGGTAGTTATGTTCTTGTCTTCAGATGTGTACATATCTAAATCGACACGAGAGTACCTCCCACTTCTATCGCCCGTCACGCCCAGCGGCACACTTGCAGACTTAGCAAAAGACATGCCTTCGGGTACTGGATGAATACGTGACCGATATTGTAGGGCAGGTTGTATGACAGACCTACTGACGGCAATCTCCAAAGATTTCACACGTGCGTGAGGAGAGGATAGGCAGGCTTGTCGAGGTATCTAGGTGGTTCATGTATAATTTGAGATAGCAAGTGGGTGGAACATGTAGTGTTTTGTACGTGGGATACGGCATGATTGTCACGAATCTACACGGCCACGGGAAATATGATTGTACTTACTTTCTGCCTTGGCTGTTAACCATGGTGGTGGCTTGTACCTGGGGCTAGCCTGCAGCCTGCACGCTAGCACACCGTTGTTACTTAGACGAGCCTAGACCTCGTCATCGTATGTACTCACGTCCCGTTCCAAGGCGGAGCAGCATGAAAGTGACATGGGGGGTCAGCTGTGGCTGGGCATCGGCTGCCCAACCTCTGGGGCGCATACTTATCCAATCTTCCTGTTGATATCCTCAAACTCTGCTGTCTTTTTTTCCGCTTCTCCATCTGCCTCGTTTGCGCGTGCTTTGGTTGTGTTGTGCTCCGCCCGCGTCTTTGATCGGGCAACCCCACGCTGATCGGCCCCCACGAATCACATTGCGATCGCAATCGAAGCTTCCTACTTGTCGACTCTCGCCGCTGCCGGCGGATTACATAGTGAAGAGCGAAAAAGGCGCCATGTGTCTTGTCAAAGTTAAGCAGGAAGAGGACCACGTAGTCCCCTACCGCGTGGTGCAGCGTGCCCGCTCTCCGCCCCGTCGCCGTGTATCGCGACATTCGCGCGACATTGAACGCCGCTACTCGCGCAGTGAGGTTGTTCGCGACTCACCTCCACGGCCCTCGTCATCCTATATTGCTGTGCCATCACCAAAACCTCTCCAGATTCCCGCGCCGCAGCCGGTGCCTGTGTTCATCCAGCCTTCTCCGCCTCCACCACCACCACCGGCGCCTATGCCTGCTCCACGACCGCCGCCAAGCCATATCTCGTCTCACCATACTTCCCACCACGGCGGCGCGCACTACGTCGAGGTCTCTCCGCGATCTAGCATCACCTCTCATACGTCTAGTCTTGACGACCGTAGTGAATATGTGTACCGTGAGCGCGAGGTCCGGCGTGAGCACCAACGAGCTTACAGCCCTGATAACCCACGCTACGAGCACTACCGATATGTGGAGCCTGAATCGAGCGAGAGCGATCAATACGAGAGATATCAGACGCGAGACCGGAGCAGACAGCGTAGCCGCAGTCGTGCTGGCTACGACGATTCGAGGGGAGGGTATAGAGAAACCACCAACATGAGGGTGTCAATCGGAGAAAATGACGGAAGGCGGAGGAGGGACTACGGTCGGTAATCATTGGTACCTTGTCAGGGCCTTCTACCATGCTGCAGTGAGGGAGAGGTATCCTGTTTGCAAGGCGCATCTGGCCGATTCAATCGCGCTCATGTTGATGATGTTGAAATAATTGTTTGACAGATACTGTGAATTTGCACGTAGTACGTAGTGGCCTTGTTACGATTTAATGACATGCTCCGGTTTGTTCCAAAGCTTTAGTGGCTGTGAATGAGGTCATTGCTGAGGCGGTTCCTGGATGACGGCGGTGGCCCAACGCACGTCCGGACGCCGCCCTTTCAGAGAGCCAAAGTATTGGGTGCAGACAAAGTCCTAGCCACAGAAAACCCGCTTCCGGCTGCCGGTACAAGCGATGGCCAGGGAAGCCTTGGGCACCAGCGGAGCGGTTTCGTATGTGCATACAAGTCCAGGGTTGCGATCAGCATTGAGACCGAGATTATTCCCATAGCTGAAAACAATCCTCCAAGTACACGTGCTTACTTGCCACGACCGTCATACTTTGCGCGCAAGCACTCTTCACCGCTGCACGTAAGTAGAGCAAGTGGGACATGCCCGAAGCGCCTGTCGAGCCGCTTGTCGCACCCCCTTACCACGAACAATGTCTATCCACGTCCTGGTCAAAGACTACCCGCACCGCGCAATCGCACTTGCTACCTCAACCCACGCCCTCGTCCTCCGACACAGCGCCTCCACTACCGAGCACAACGGGAATCCAAATGCTTCGTCAACGTCGCTGGGAAGCAATGGCGCTGGCGTCGCGCGCTGCATGGTCGAGTTCACGCGGTTGGAGGAAATCGACCTGGAGGACTACAGGGCCATAAACACAGTCAACGTATATGGTACTCTGGGACTGATTACCGTGGACAATAATGTGTTCTTGATCGTAGTCAACGGCGCAAGCAAAGTTGCGACCGTACGGCCGGGCGAGACCGTGCAACGAATACACTCTGTCGGCTTCTACTGCCTGACCAGCACTAGCTATGACATGCTGCTTGACAATGAAGTCAACCCCTACCCTACGGATACAATTGATGACGAGGGATACGAAATGGGCTTTGGGGGCAGGAAAGAACAGAGCCCGACGGAGCACCCGTGTCTGGCGCTCAAGAAGATTCTTAGCAGTGGAACCTTCTATTACAGCTCAGACTTTGACCTTACCAGGCGGTTACAAGATCGTACCACGGACGCCGCCACCGTCTCTGTCGATAGCCTGGATGCCGGATTTCTGTGGAATTCATACATGATACAACCACTGGTAGACTTCAGGAGTAGGCTCGCATCGAAGGATAAAGAGGCACTGGACGCATCAGGAATCCTGACATCAGCGATTCGCGGTTTCGCGCTGACGATTACAATCCCCAAGGCCTCAGCACCCATCAGGGTTCAGGACTCGGGTATGCCTTCTTCCATGACCCTTATTTCTAGACTATCATGCAAAAGGGCTGGCACCAGGTTCAACTCGCGAGGCATCGACGACGACGGAAACGTCGCAAATTTTGTTGAGACTGAAACGATCCACTGGGCTCCATCAGGAGCTTGCTTCTCGTACGTACAAGTACGAGGAAGTGTACCTATCTTTTGGGAGCAACAGGCTGGCCTTCTGCCCAATCAACAGAAGATCACCATCACGCGATCTCCAGAAGCCACTCAGCCGGCTTTTGACAAGCATTTTGAAAACCTAGAGCTGAGCTATGGCACGATACATGTAGTCAATTTGCTGAGCAACGAAAAGCAGAATGAGCTAGAGTTGTCATATAGATATCGTGGTCATATCCGCAACAGCCCGCTGAACCACGGGCATGATCCTGCTCAACATGAACATGATCTCATCAAGCTCACCGAATACGATTTCCATGCCGAGACACGTGGACCAGGTGGGTACGAGATGGCCAGCATGATCGCCAGGTGGATCCAAGATTCCGCAGAAGGCTTTGGATACTACCTTTCTGAAGAGGTAGAAGAGCAGACGAGACACAGCGGACAAGACTATCTTGTTCGACGGACAATGACCATATTGCAGCAAGAGGGAATTTTTAGAACAAACTGTCTAGATTGTCTCGATCGCACGAATCTCGTCCAAACCATCATCAGCAAGATGGCGCTTGAATTGTTCTTGAGCCACAAAGGCCTCAGAGCCAGTCAAGACTTCTGGGCCAGACACTCAAGCATGTGGGCAGATAATGGCGATGCTCTGTCCAAGATTTATGCTGGCACCGGCGCTTTGAAGTCCTCTTTTACGCGATCTGGAAAGATGTCGCTTGCCGGTGCTCTTGCGGATGCTCGGAAAAGCGCCACACGAATGTACATCAACAACTTTGCGGATAAGGGGCGGCAAAACACAATCGATATGCTTCTCGGACGACTCATTGGGCAAGTGCCAGTGCACCTTTATGACCCAATAAACGACTTTGTTGTCACAGAGCTTGCAAGGCGGTCTGCAGAGTACTCAGAAACTGAGATGATCAACATACTTGTTGGGACGTTCAACCTCAACGGAAAGACGGATGGTATCCGAAATGATCTGTCGCCATGGCTGTGCCCTGATGTCGATGCTTCGCAGCAGTGCCCTGAGATAGTGGCTGTGGGATTCCAAGAAATCGTTGAGTTGAGCCCGCAGCAGATTATGTCTACAGACCCAGACCGACGAGAGGCTTGGGAAGAAGCCGTAAGGACGTGTCTGAACAGAAACTCTGAGAGACACGGTAAGGATGAATATGTTATGCTCAGAGGCGGGCAGCTAGTCGGAGCAAGCTTGTCAGTTTTTGTCCGGTCAGACTGTCTGAAGCACATCAAGAATGTTGAGGGTGCTTTGAAAAAGGTAGTCATAAAGATCTTATGTGTGATATCAAAATACTAACTAACTCGTTAGACCGGTATGTCTGGCATGGCTGGCAACAAAGGTGCTGTGGCGATCCGCTTCGAATATGCTAATACCTCAATCTGCCTCGTCACTGCACATCTTGCAGCTGGTTTTGCCAACTATGAAGAACGCAATCGCGACTACAAGACAATCAGCCACGGACTGCGATTCCAGAGAAACAGATCAATCGACGACCATGATACCGTGATATGGCTTGGTGACTTCAACTACCGAATAGGCCTGAGTAACGAGAAGGTGAAAAAATTGTGTCATGTCGGTGATCTTGAGACGCTATATGAGAACGATCAGGTAGGTTGTTTAACTTTCACAGTAATGATGGCTACTGACACGCCCTAGCTCAACTTGCAGATGGTCGCAGGCTTAACCTTCCCCTACTATTCGGAAGCGCGCATAACCTTCCCACCCACGTACAAGTACGATCTTAATAGTGATCAGTATGATACGTCGGAAAAGGCACGCATACCTGCATGGTGCGATCGTGTTCTCCGCAAAGGCGACAATATTCGACAGATACACTACAACGACGCGCCCCTTCGATTTTCCGATCATCGACCAGTCTATGCAACGTTCCAGGTCTTGGTACAAAGAGTTGACGAAAAGAAGAAGGAGAGTTTGAAAGGGGCTCTGTATAGACAGCGAAGGGAGTTTGTTGGTGACACCAGGGCAGCTGGCCATCTAGGGGAGGATGAAACAGACGATGAAGACTTGCTTGGTTACGACAGCATAGAGCCAGGACTACCACCGGCAAGCTCGGATCGGAGGAAATGGTGGCTTGACAATGGTACTTTTGCCCTCCTCTCTGCTGTAGCATGGATGCTCATTTTCCAAAGGTCTCCCAGCTAAAGCGCGCGTCCAACCGCCATCTAACGATCTCTTGCCCAATCCGAACAGACCCAGCAACCCTTTCACCCCTAGCCCAGAACCAGATTGGGTAGACATTAAACAATTACAGAATAGTCGTAGTAGACCAGAGCCACCACCAGCACGTGGTTCGCAAAGGGCACGCACGGTTGACTTCAACAATCCGACGTCTTCGACAAATTCAGGAGCAACACAGAAGCCAGCGGCACGCAAGATGATTGCACCGCTGTATCCAGGCCATGCACAGCAGATTCTTGGCTCAGAAGACTCGCGAGACGGGTTGAATGATCTTCGGCGGTCCGGTTCAGGAGCTTCAACACACTCTTTACCCACTCTGCCCTACCGGGCCTCAAACACGCTGCCCCAAAACCAACCCCCTGGCAGCAGCAAACCACAGGTACTCCGTAAACCTGCTCCTCCACCAATTCCGAACAAGAAACCGGCTCTTCTTACGAAATCATCTTCTACACGCACATCACCGACCCCGCCGCTTCAAAGGTACCGCGATGATCCGCCAATGCAGGAATCGAGAGCGTATCCCCCACCGCCAGCGAGACGGTCAATGGCACCTCCTCCTAACCTTGCACGGAAACCGATACAAAACTTGATTGACGATGATGATCGTAAGCCGGCTCTGCCTCCGCGGACCAACGCTAACGGAGGTGGACGGAGCGGTATGGGCGAGAGGAGTTTGATGGACGACGAGTCTGAGGACATGCAGAATATGAGGGATTGGGAGGTGCTCAGACCTGTGCGATGAAGGTAGCAAGTGTGGTGAGGAATGGGCCTGGGATGGTTTTACAGCAGGGAGGAAGATGCACCGAGTGCTACCAGCCGTCTACATGTTTCTGGTAGGATATGAATGAATGAAGATGAAGCACGCATACATACATGTCACGCATGAATTCCATATTTGGCTATGCTGCGGGAGGCTCGAGAGTATCGGCCCGCGGCAGGGGTGCATGAAGTAGTTCGCGGCCCGCTTTGCGATGGTGATCTCGAGGACATAGTGGCTGCCACCAGCCACAGACATGGCTAGCGATGGAGCGAGAGTGATTGGTGCAGGGTGGGTGGTAGCGTGTGCCACTCAGGTACAGAAAGCAGGTCGCATGCGCCCGCCAAGTGTGACCAGCGGTCTCCAATCCGGCCGCAGCGCGTAAATGCTCGTCGCATCCAATCACATAGGCGGGCGCCTCCTACGGCCAGGGTGGTGCTGTAGAGCAAGACCCGCCGCAGCCCAACTTGCGGGAAGGCTGTGTGTGGGCAACAGGCCTACGTAAGTCAGCAGCATCGCGTAGGCACAAGCAGGAAGGGGGGGCGTATCTTGTGCCATCCGCATCTCCTTTTCCTATAAAACTTGGCCGGCCCGGAAGACTGCGCATGCACGACTCCTGGACTGCTGGTGCCCCTCGCCCGTGTCGCAACGTCATATCGAGCCACCAGCCACCAGCCACAAGGCCTCGCGCCACTACCCCACCAGCAGCCCTCCGCCCACCCTCCCTCCGGCTGCTTGCGCACGTCGAGCTGTCAGCGCCCGTCGCCAAAAATAAGCCTACGCCTGTCATCGCCGGCGATCCAGGAACACGCGCCCAAGGATATCCAGAAGCCCACCCAAAGCCATGGACGGGCGCAAGCAGGGCCGTCCCGAGGAGGAGCTCTTCTTGCGATACGACACCAACCCGGAGACACCCATCATCCCTACAGTCGGGCCCCTGAGGATACAGAAAGGCCGCGATGGCAAGAGCCCGCCACCGCGAACAGATTCCGCGGGCAGCTCCAGCCAGCCCGCATTTTCGCGCCCGCCGCCTATGCCCTCGTTCCCCGCACCACCATCGAGCCCTCCCACTGCCCCTCTCCCTTACCCGGACAATGACCGCCCGCCCAATGTTCAGCCTACCCTCGGCACTGGAAGATATACACCCCTCAGCGAGCGCGAGAGACGGAGCGCAAACACGACGCCTGCTGAAGGAAGAGAAGAACCGAGGAGAGGGTCGAATGCGACCGGGCCCAGTCCCACTTCTCCCGGCCAACGCGCTCGCTTCGATGCGAACGACCCAAACAGGCCGACAATAGGTGGTTACGGCAGCAGGCACCCAGACGGCTCAGTTCAGCCCTCGAGACTCGCAGAGCGACGAGGAACTGCGCCAAAACCCCTTCCAGACTCACCCGGTCCAGACACACCTGACAAGGAGGGGCTGTTCCAGAAGGCGCCCCAAAGACAGCACACCGCAGATGCGCCCCCCAACAATAACCCATATCCCGAGTACCACCAGCAATACTTTCCCCCTCCCTCTGCACAGTCCTCGTCACAACCTGCGCAGGATAATGTCGTCTACACAGGACCCAATCAGGATGAGCCTGCGCTCAAAGTGCCCACACCAGTCGGTGTCAACCGCCTAAGTTCCACGGCTTCAACTTCGACAGTAAGAGCACAGCGGGGCTCGCCTCCCCCTCCAGAAACACCCATCATCCCTCCTTCCGGAGGCGGCATTGAAGCGCGCTTTGCCGCGGCAGGCATCGCAGGAACTTCAACCCTCACCAATCTACAAGCCCAGAGTGCCCATAATGCAGCAGCCGCCCAGCGAAATCAGGTCTATGCCAACCAACAGCCCATAAGGAGACCATGGACTCCCACTGAGCAGCCAGGCAACATGCCGCATGGCCCACCAGCAGTGTACCAAGGTATGGATCAGGTACCTCCATCAGGCACTCCTCCCCAGGGCCCTCTCCCGCAAGCGCCAAACACTCGCTTCTCACCCCCTCCTGCGAATGCATCCCAGACAAACGCATCCCCGGATCATCCTCTGAGCCAGGACATGGGCCGCATGAACTTGAATGAGGAGCCACCGCCTGCCTACTCGAGCATAACGACCCCGCCAACTGGCCAAGCCCAAAGCTATCCTAACGAAAAAGGACAGCAGCCAGCTGCTCAAGGTGTGGCGCTGTCTGATCCTAATCAGGGTCACCCTGCATTCGCAAATGATGCGCGCCAACCGGCTGGACCATCGCAACCTGCAGCAGCGGTAGTAGCCCCAACACCCACACAGAACCAGTTCCCGCCACAGGCACAAACGGCTCAACCAGCTCATACGCCAAGCCCGGCTCAGGCCCAAGGGCCAGGGCCAGGACCAGCATCTCCCCCACCGCTACCTGAGGGTTGGATAGCACATCTCGACCCCAACTCTGGTCAGTACTACTATATCCATCTTCCCACTCAATCTACACAATGGGAGTTCCCCAAGGGACCCACGCCTCTCAATCTGAACGAGCCCATGTCACCTACAGGCACGTTTGTTGGTGGTCCTTTGGCATCCCCATCTTTTGGAAAGACTCCTATGGCGTCACCTGGCTTTGCTCCCCAGACGGCTACCTTCTCTGGAGACTTCGGCATGGCACCCCTTGCAACTCCAACTACCACAGGCTTCACTGGACCACCTCCCGCTGCAGGTGTAGACCAGTACAAAGTAGCTCCTACCAATGGCGTATACTTTGGACCGTACCTAAGGTATACAAACATGGACATTGAACGGGGATTATGGCTGGGGTCAATTCTCCTCATTACCAACACCCCTCATCCTCCTACAATTCATATCCACCAGAGTACAGACCTGTCACCCAATCCACGACAGCTCAAGGCCAACCCCATTTACACGCACCAAACATGGATTTTCTACAGATACGACATTGACTTGAAGATGGAAGACGACCGTGCAGCCAAGTGGACCTACGCAATCACATCACATTTGGGGTGCACTCGATTTGAGTTTTTGGTAGCTGGGCGACATGAGACCAGCTGGCGGTTTATTGCTCATTCAGGAAACGATTTTGCGCTCAATGTTAACGCCAATGAGAGAGCAAGACTCGGTGGGGTTGGATTGATGTGGAAGGATATTCTGCAAAAGAATGCCGAGTGCGGTGGCTTCCATGTACAACTGGGCCTGGGTGGCCAGATTTATGCTGACCGTCTGTGGAAAGAGCTTCCATTGTTGAAGCAATGGACGGCAACAAGTGGTAAAGAGGTCCGGAAGAACGCAGCGTGGACCGCGAAGCACGAGGAAGACGTTTGTCACGCATACTTCCACTATTACACCAGCCATTTTGATCAGCCACATCTCCGAGAGGCATTCGCTCAAATTCCCCACATCCTAGCTCTTGATGACCACGATATGTAAGCTCTTGTTAACTTCTTACTCTGTCTAGATACTAATGGTTTGCAGCTTTGATGGCTTCGGGTCGTATCCTGAATATATGCAGTTTTCTAATATGTTCAAGAACATCGGAAGATTGGGTATTGAAATGTACTTGCTCTTCCAGCACCACACAACGCTTGAAATACTCCGTAACGTAAACAACGACATGGACCTTTTCACAATCACCGGCACAGGCTGGCACTTTATCAAGTATCTAGGTCCTTGTGTTACGGTTGTTGGGCCAGACTGCCGCTCAGAACGTAACCCGCATCAAGTCATGGCAGGACCAACGTATCAGGGCATCTTCCCCAAGGTGGCAACATTACCGCCCAGTGTGCAACATTGTATCTGGATGGTTCCTGTTCCCATTGTATATCCCCGCCTTGAGTCTGTTGAGCATCTTGCGCACTCGATGGCTACGGGCAAGAAGGCCGTCACTGGTACTTTCAACATGCTTGGAAAGGTGACTGCTGGAGTGGCTGGTGTTGTTGGTGCCAAGAGCGTTGTCGGAGATGGTTTCAACTCGGTCAAGAAGGCTATTGGCAAGTCTGGGTTGATGAGTGGCGTCTTGAGTCCGTTTGGAGAGATTGATCTGCTCGATGAATTGAGAGATCAGTGGACGCACGATTCAAAGGTTAGTGAAGGCCACATGATTTCAAGTAACATGCTAACCAAATCTAGGACCTTGAGCGGACATATCTGATCCGGACACTACAAGGCATTGCTCACAACAAGTCGTTGCGGATGACGTTCTTCTCTGGCGGTGTTGACTGCTGTGGTGCGGGTCTGGTTCATGACCCTTCAAGACCTCAGGATCACAAGACCATGTACCAGATTATCTCCTCTTCGGTCGTCAACGCACCGCCCAGCAACTATGTCCTGCGACTTCTACACAACAACCGTGCGCTCTATATACCACAGAATGGGCATCGTAGCAACAATCAGCCTTCGGATACCAAGGAAGACATGATGGAAATTTTTACACAAGACGTCAACGGACAACCGCGGGAGTACAAGCGACTAATGGGTCGAAGAAACTATGTGGCGTGTGTGATATACGATCCTGACGTTGTGAATGGGTCGTTTGGGCAAGGTGTTCCCGGTCACAGCGGGGGCAAGTTAAGTCTGGCGGTCGACTTTATGGTGCAGAATGACGGTGGATACAGTGCACCGATGAAGTATGGGCCAGTGATTGTACCGAGCCTTGAATACGGAAGATAGATAAGGAGGTGGTGATTGTTTTATTTGCGTACTTCTGTGTTTAGTAATAGGCATGCATAGCAAGCGTTGTTTATGGCTTTGGGATTATGTGTTTTGAAGAAGTCCTAATGAAAATACAATAGAATGACAAAAGAGTAACGATGCATAGTGCGAAAGCGCGGTGCTGCAGGGTGGGTTTAGTGAGGGCGATGGAATGGTATGCCCAATTCGGCAAATCCATTGACGTCTGCAAGGCTTGGCTACCCTCGGGCGGCTTCCAATTTCTCGACAGCGAGATGATGTAGGAACTACAACATCGGCACAATGGCAGCGCCCTCGATATCGGCGGCGGTGATTCCGCGATTTCTCGCACCTCGGCTTCAATGGTCTGCAAGCAGCTCGCGGCTTGTGGCGCAAAGCACAGTAGAAGCAAGGCGACATGGATCTTGTTGGGCGGCGTCGGAGCGTCGCATGCCACTTTCGAAGCTCTCGCCTCTCCAGACAGCAGGGACAAGACAATGGCAGCAGCAGAGATGGTCACAACGCACAAGTGGGCACGGGTCTGCTTTGGAGCTTCAGCGCAGCTTCAACGCAACGGCGAAGCAGGCCAGAGATCACCATTTCGACACGCTCAAGTTTGTGCAGCGGCTGAAAGAGGAGGGGTTCACAGAAGAGCAGGCTGAGGGGATGATGAGGGTGCTCAGCGACGTGATTGAGGAGAGGTGAGTGTGGGAAAAGCATGGAGGATTCAAAGGCTGTCGCAAACTGATGTTGTGCAGCATACAAAATCTCACACGTACCATGGTGCTGCGCGAGGACCAGGAAAAAGCTACATACACGCAAAAGGTTGATTTTGCAAAGCTGCGCTCCGAACTCATGACGGCCGACTCGACCGAATCCAGTCTTACACGGGCATCACACGAGAGGCTCACCAACGAACTTGCAAAGCTGAACTCGCGACTACGGGACGAGATACAGAGGACTCAGGCGTCGGTCAGGCTGGATTTGAATCTAGAGAAGGGGCGGATTCGCGAGGAGGCCAATGTGCAGGAGCTCAAGTTGAAGGAGACGGACACGAGGATCGAGCAGGAAACGGCACAGCTCCGGGAGAGGCTAGAAGCCGTCAAGTTCTCGACTCTGCAGTGGCTGATGGGAGTGTGTACAGGTACGGCGGCGCTGATGCTGGGAGTGTGGCGATTGTTGATGTGATTGCAACAACGTTTGGTGGGCGGGCGGGTAGAGGGAGGCGATGTGATTGACTGGTTGATTGGACAGATAGATATGATACACGGATGGACAAAAGGTCGGTCAGCAGTCTGGGTCAGACACGAATCGCTCCGGGAGGGCTACAGGAGGTCAAAGGGCACGAACATGTCCCTGCGCAACAGAGACCCGTGCAACTACTAGAGGGTGTCGGTCAATGCTGCTGGCTGCTAGGCGTGTACACGGGCGAAAGGCTCTGGTAGCGGGCCGCGACGGCATATTATACCGCGCGGACCAGCCAGGGCCCGGGTTGTGGGAAGGGGATTGTGGAATGCATATGTGGCATGCGGCAAAGACGGTGTCAGCACACAAGTTTTTTAATGCACAAGTGGTTGCTGGGGATTCAGGCAAAACGTGCATGCCGTGTGTGTATGCACTTGTTTTTTTTCTTCTTCTTGTGAGTTGGCAGTGGAGGGCGTCGCAACTGCTTCTCAGGTCAAGATGCAGTATGTAAATGTGCATGTATGAATAGTATACATATGTACATAGTTGGTAGGTAGTGGTATGTATGTAAGCACCGGAGACGGATGTACGTACACCAGCTGGGTGGTCTCTGCCCACAGCGCGACACGAATCATGGGGCAACCAGAGCAGCTCCACGCAAGAGGAGCCGTCCAAGTTTTCTAGCTGTTTCCAAGGTGCACTGATTGGCCCCCACTTGAACATGGGACGGCAGCGCAGGAGTCAGCCTCTCTCTCTCCTTCGCTGGCGGCCGCCCTCCCCACGCCCGCCTCGTGTGACTTGATGGGCGGCAACGACCACAGGCTGACGGCTGGACAGCAAGCAAAACCTGCCAGCGCCGCCACGGGGGTTTGGGAGATTGGGCAGGGCTATGGGCGCTGGCGGTGGGTGCTCTTTGGGGGGGATGGATGGATGGGTGGATGGGTGGATGGGTGGATAGACCCTGAATGCTCACGTGCCCCCCCATGTACCCCTCATTGCCAGCTCCTTGAGTTGTCGCGCACAGCCTCAGCGGTGGTAGGAGCAGAGGCAGCAGCAAGTACATACTAAAGGAATAGGGGAACGACATGGCAAAAGGGGCGTGTGGGAGTGCACATGCGTGGATATGTACGTACAGGACGTCGGCCTAGCAGGTACACCGCATGCCAACGGCGCGAACGGGGCAGGCGGGCATGTGAATAGACTCGTCCCAGGCGCCCATTGGGGGAAGGCGCTGGGCGACGGGGTGGTGTTGTTCGTTTGACGCACGGCCCCCCGGGACTCTCTTAGGGCAGACGCTCGCTTCCTCAAAACAACTTCGATCCTCTTCTGTTCATTGATCCACACAAACACCTCAACAACTCCATCCACCGTCTATCCTTCCGTAGCCCATCTGCACCCCACCCCACACTCAACCACCACAACCACCCCATCCACTCCCTTCAGATACTCCTTCACAATGGCGACTGAGGTATGTTCGCCCCATCCTATCTATCCTCTCCCACTTCCCCCCGCTGTCGTCCGCTGCGGGATGCCCCTCTGGGTCCCCGATAGACTACACGCATACGCACACACATACACACACACACTTGTACACATGCAACACCGGCTAACAAGACTCTTGCAAATAGCGTGAGAGGTACGATAGGCTTGCCCGCAACCGCTCCCTGCAGTAATTGACGTCGTAACAGCAAGACTTTCCTCGCCCGGCTGTGCGAACAGGCTGAGCGCTACGATGGTAAGTCCTGCGCACCCTCAGCTGAGTCCTGCGCAATGTGCTGACGATGTCTGTTTGCAGAGATGGTCACGTACATGAAGGTCAGTCAATACGCCAGTCACTCTTGCTCAACCCCCCTCGCATGCTAACTATCGCGCAGGAAGTCGCTAAGGTATGCCCGACCGCATCCGCCTGCATACGGCTGAGCAGGCCCCAGCAGCCACCTGCCAGCTGCAAGTTCCCCTTTTAACGTGTACTAATCCACCCCACAGGTCGCTGGTGAACTCACCGTTGACGAGCGCAACCTTCTGTCCGTCGCCTACAAGAACGTCGTTGGTACCCGACGCGCGTCATGGCGCATCATTTCCTCGATCGAGCAAAAGGAAGAGTCCAAGGGTACCGAGAAGCACGTTGGCACCATCCGTGACTACCGCCAAAAGATCGAGACCGAGCTTGAGCAGGTTTGCCAGGATGTCCTCAACGTCCTCGACGACTCCCTCATCCCCAAGGCCGAGTCCGGCGAGTCCAAGGTCTTCTACCACAAGATGTGCGTGCAAAACCCCGCTACATACACACACACACATCGCAAACTGGGCTAACAACGGGACAGGAAGGGAGACTACCACCGCTACCTAGCTGAATTCGCTTCCGGTGAGAAGCGCAAGGTTGCCGCCACTGCTGCACACGAGGCCTACAAGGTATGACGCAATCATTGCATAGCGCTAAAAACCAGGAGATTGCTAACCATGCTCCAGACGGCCACCGATGTTGCCCAGACTGAGCTCACACCCACGCACCCCATCCGTCTCGGCCTTGCCCTGAACTTCTCGGTCTTCTACTACGAGATCCTGAACTCGCCCGACCGTGCTTGCCACCTTGCCAAGCAGGCTTTCGACGACGCCATTGCCGAGCTCGACTCGCTCTCTGAGGAGTCTTACCGTGACAGCACCCTCATTATGCAGCTTCTCCGTGACAACCTCACTCTCTGGACGTCATCAGACGGCAACGAGGGCGAGGGTGCCGCTGTCGACGCGCCCAAGGACGAGGCCAAGCCCGCCGAGGACGCAGCAGCTGCAACCGAGGCCAAGCCCGCCGAGGACGCAGCAGCTGCAACCGAGGCCAAGCCTGAGGAAACACCTGCTGCTGCCGCTTAAGCGCACTCTTCCTGCTTCGACCTTGTATATCCTCAGCCGTCGTCATCTGTTCTCGAATAGACGAAGGAGGCCGGTAGCGAGCGTCCTACGGAGTTGTACGTGTTCTGTGTGATTTCAAAAATTGGCTTTGGCAGCAAGCGGTTCGGTACGGTCGAATTCCCCCATGACTGAAATGTATTTCCCTTTAAATATCCTGTATCGCCAGCGCTATCCTATCGAGCACGCAGTGTGCTGACATCTTGTGTCAAAACAACGATTGCAGCACTTCTGATGCCCTCTCTGCGAGGGCGAGGGCTGCTATCGGCGAGAAAAGGCTGCGCTCGGTTCCTCGGATGCGACCCTCAATTCCCCCCATGTTTTCGTTTTGGCAGCCTATGAACAGCTCGATCCTATGGTGGATAGAGATGTTTGACGTCTTTTTGGTGGACTCGGAGTCAGGACATCTTCTTCGATGGCCGACAGAGCAGTACGCAACGCTCTGGTAGGCTTAATGTCATGATACTGCACTCTTAGCTAGCCAAAGAAGCCGTTACTTCAAGACTACTTGCAATGCTCAGCTGTGATGTTAGACTTTCTCACCTTGGACAATTTTGTAAGCCTGGGTCAGAACATGTGATTTGTGTTGCATTACTATACATACACTGTCGATCTTGGAGAGGGGCGGTTGAACGGTCCTTTTCCAAGGTTGCCATGCACCCGATGCTGTGGAACGGCGCGCCCCACTACTAGTACCGAGCAAGCGAACAAAGTACCCCCGCCCAACTTTTCTGTCCCAGTCTTGTCGCGTCACACATGGCAAACGCAGCACTGAGAAAGGCCCCTCGAGGGCAGCGCAGTCTACCATTAAATACTCACACCCGTCGTGGTCGCGCAGTATGGCCTACACAAAAGACTACTACCATATCCTGAGCCTCGACGCACCGGGCTGGCGCCAGCCCGCAAACGAAACCAACAAGACTGCAGCAGCAGACCTGCGACGAGCATACAAAATAGCACTACTCGCAGCACACCCAGACAAGAAGAAACAAGATGGCACTGCGACTACAAAGACGAAGCCCGCATACACGGTCGACGACGTCAAAGAAGCGTACACGATACTTGCGGATCCCAAGACACGAGCGGAATACTACACTTGGTTCCTTCATAATCGACATATGCTACGTTCCTCAAACACAACGACGGCGATGGCGATAGGTTCGCAGGAGCAAGCACAGGCTATTAGTGCAGATTTCATACTCGGTCTTGAACTTGTTGATTTGAGCGATTTCGACGAAGTCGAGCCGACGACGACGTCTACGAGTAAGGAGGAGGAGAGGGAGGAGGGCGTAGAGTGGACGAGGGCGTGTCGGTGTGGAGATGAGAAGGGGTTTCGGATTGTGGAAGACGAGTTGGAGGATGCACAGGTGAGGGGGGATAACGAGGTGCTGGTGGGGTGTCAGGGGTGTAGTTTGTGGCTGAGGGTTGGGTTTGAGGTTCAGGAGGGATGAAGGCGTGGTGTGTGGTAGTGGGAGATGGATACAAGGGAAAGGGTTGGAGAAGATGTGAGTGGAAATGAGTTGTGGATTTGTAACAACCTAGAGCTAAATACCATGACAGTCTGCGAGCCTTTTGACCCGAATCCATACCTCCTCAACTGTACGTATCCAGCCGGTGTTTGTTTAGTTGTACCGGAAAAAGCTCGATCCAATGCCGTCCAGTTTGTGTAACGAAGCGAGAAATGATTGTCCACTGTTGTTGCAAAACCATTGGTAGAAAAAGATTGAAGTGCCCGATACCAGCTGACGGCAAGAAGGTTTGAGATGGCTCTATATGTAGGTGTACTGGGAAAGCTCACAAGCCATGAACTTGCCTAGCTCCCCAGGAATATCGCCGCTCTTTTTCATCTGCCCAGGCTGTTCCGCGTAGGCCAGTTGTTCGGCGTGTCGCTTAGCCCGCTCGGCTGCATCTTGGTCGAGCTTCTCATTGAACTGGCTGCCCGAGATACTAAGTTGGAGATTAAACTCGAGCGCGAGTTTTCGATTCGAGCTTTCGTAGGGGTCGCGGAAAAGGGACTCGCGGTAAGGGTGGAGTATAAGGGTCTGCGGCACCTGTCCAAAGGGCAATAGGGTAACGGCCAACCATCATAGATTTAGCTATGTATATGACTGCTCTCAGCAGCGACAGCTAAGGGTCTGGTCGGCTCCGTCTCCGTTTGTCGTTTGTTAACCGGAATGAGAGCTTCGTATGGAAAAGGGAGATGGAAATGCCTTTGTGTTCGGTAAAACGACGTTTTGAACACCACCAGCTGGGGCTCAGTACCGCAGAGATCTAGTTTCACTGTTGATTTTGATTGAGCGTGGTACTTCAAGTTCGAGTGGCTGCTTGTGACGATCGCCAACTCACAGAAGTCCTATAAAACACAAACGTCACCCCTCTTGTTAGCCTAGGTGTACAAACCACACTAGTTTCCAGGAGCCACTGCACGCCAATCAGTGTGAGCTGATGACGTGACTCGGGGAGGTAAGAGTAGGATTTTGGCTCCCGTTTTTTTTTACGGGGAAACAGCCGAAGCCAAAAACCCCAAAGACTTACTTCATATGCTACGCCGACGTGATTTCTGATGAAATGCCGGAACCCCTTGCATGTGCCGCAGATTTGACTCCTTATCTTCTTGACCCCCGATTCGGCAGAAATCGCTCGACAACTTCGTGGCCGCGGGCCCGGGTTGAGGCAAAGTCGTCAAGGTTATCTTGCTCGCGCAGTCGGGGCGTTCGAAGAGGTCCGCATCCGAAACCGGGGGAGAAGGAAAGCCCAAATCTCGACGTTTCGCTTGCGGAGGGGTTCCTATATGTTCCGTTGAGCATATGAAGAGAATTTGAGGTTGTCTGATAAAATATGCTTGGACAGATATATCGTTTATTCAAACGAACCATCTGTGATGTCGTCCGAATCGCTTTCAGGAGAGTTTCGGCTCGGACGATGATTCTCCGGAGGCTCGATGCTCTGGAGCCAATTTTCTACGTTATCACAAGTTGTAACGCCTGGTCCGTCCTTGTCGTCATCACCGCCGTCGCAGAACTCCTCCTCCTTCCATCTAGCCGCTCCTGTCATGGCAAGGACACGTTGAAGGTGCCACTGTAGGGTCAACAGGCCTGAATCCGGGAGGGGTCGCTTCTCGGGGTCATCGGTTGTCATCACAAATCTGGTTCCACTTTCGAGTGGTTTCCGGTATTTGTCGTCGTCAGGATCGATCCGATCGAGTAGGCCGTAGCCCCGTCCAACTGAAAGCAGGCAGGCCGAAGACAAAAGTTCGTCCATGATGTCTACCCTATCATGGCGATTGCGCTCTTCAACAACAAGCCAATGGAACTCGACTTCGAGTCGTGTCTTGTCGGCTGACAGTTGTATCAGTCGGAGTGCAAATCGGGCAGCCGAGTGAAATCGGTGCAGAGTTTCCGATAGGGAGATCATGTTCTCGATTGTCTCCGTCCCCCGATGCGGATGATTGGCGTCGACAAATATCTTCTTTCGTCAGCCTTCCACCACCTCGCGCTTCCAGAACATCCTCATCACACTCCAAAATTGACTAACTCGCCCCTCATTTTCTCCTTCAAAGCCGCACCATGGGTAAATATGGGCGGCGTCTATTTCCGCCATCCTCGAGACCGCGCAGAGGTTTCCATCCCGCCTCTTATAGTTTGGCCTAACGCCATCATGTCGGCTAACACTGTATTGCTGGCCGCCAGTTATATGTCCGGATCGAGTTCGCTTGGATCCGGCCAGTACGCTGGCATTGAGAGGAGAATTCGAGGATGGTTGGTTGGAGAGAACTTTCGGTGACGAGCGGATCGGCGTTGCACTTGCTTTAGGTTGTTTCTCTGGTTATTTCTGCATCCCGAGTAGGAGGGCGTCCACCGCTTTTCTTTCAACATCCTCACTGTTTCCGAACATTTCTAAAAACATCTCGGACCCAAAACCCCTTCGCAGAACCTCGATATCGGAGACCTGGAGGAACGCCCACAATACCGTGGGTAACCGGTCGGGGGATTTGAGGGACTTCAGTTGTTGAAAGAGTTGTCGGCGCTCATCGGAGCGCTCTGAGAAGCGGTAGTCGTCGGCCTCTGGCCTCACATCGGTACAACCTTGGGCTACAGAACCCATGGGGTTGTTTGCTTATTGGTACCTGTTTTGGGTGATCGCACAGCTTTCATAAAAATGTTAAAAATAGGGGGGCAAAACTTACAAGCTGTGGTGGATGAAGAAGAAATGTGAAGTTAAGGTGAGTTGTGTTCTTTATATACTAGACAGCTACCTACTCAACCATGGCTTGAGAAAGACCCTGAAGTAAACATGGCAAATACGAAAGGAGCTTTCAGAAAAGAACGAAGAAATGACCACTATTGTACCGTGGTTCAGGAAAGAGCTTGCGAGACACAATGACTATTACGAAAGAACTATCATCGGGCGGTCAGACCTAATAATGTCCCATATTGACCCCGAATCCTACACGTCAAAGCCTAAACTACTCGTCTGCTCGGTGTAAGGCATATCCCTTGTTGACTGTCTACAGGCCGTAGGCTAGGCTGGTCTTTTGTTATAATGCTCCTCTACATCAAGTCAGCACCGACCAAAGCTAGCTCCAGCGCGGTGTCGTACAAACTCGAAGCCACCATGTGCAGACGAAATCTTGCCCAAATGCCCTCCCGCTGGGATTTCTGTTTCATTGCTCGTGGGTATCATATCTTTCTATAGGCACCGTGTCGTCCTTTTAGTCCGAGTCCTCATCGCTCACATCCATTTCCATTTCGGCATCCGAGTTCTCTTCCTCTTCCTCATCCTCCCTTGCGCGCTTCTGGCCCTTGGCCGCATCTTGTGCGTTAACTGGTACTGCCTTTTCCGGTGCAGCGCCAAAGCCTGATGTCTGTGCAGGCGCCTGCTGGTCGTCTTCTGCGCGTTCTGGCTCGGGCATTTTGTAGGTTCCGTCGAGCTTGGCCACGGTATCTGACTTTGTCTTTGCGTATGCAATTTGCTAAGCTGCGTCAGCTATTACACTTGGTAGAGAGATTCGCAGCAGACGTACCATGTCTTTTCCAAAAAATGTGAAGCCTTGCAGAGCGCGCATCGCCTGTGTCGAAGAGTCGATGTCGCGGAAGACGACATGGGCCTGGCCGCGCATCTTCATGGTCTTGAGGGCGACAATGTCGAGAATAACTCCATATGTGGCGAAGAGCATGTACAGGCTCCGTTTGAGGTCATCCTTCTGGAGCTTGTCGGGCAGATTGCGCACATAGAGGCTGGATAAGCGTGAGTGAGTGTGTATATATAAAAGTACAGTAGGTAGCTTACGTTCTGTTTGGAATACCCTCGCTGGCGACGGTGCCTGGCGGTCCTCGGGCAGAAGTAGCCATGGTGCGTGCAATGGCTGCTGCTGCGACGTGCAGCGGTGGTGAGGTCGAGCTCCCCGCTGAAAACCGCGGCCAAGACTAAAAGTTCGGGGACGTGCCTTGCCCTGCCATGCTATGCCATACCTTGCCTGGTACCTGCGCCCGTGGAGACTAGAGAACCATGCACGCCCTCTATTTGTTCAATATCTTGACCCATTCACTGCAAGAGGAGGACAGCAAGAAGAAGGAGAACAAAGGCATGGAGATGGTGGCAGACTCACCTCTCTCATGATACCGGTTGGGGCCCTTTGCTAACACCCGACTCTCTATCACGTCTACTTGACGCCTCTCCACCTACATCAATACAAGCACTCTCCACCGGCCCAATCGCGACCTTCTTGCAAGCGCACCATGGCATCTCCCGTCGTCCTCAGCCCACGGCCTAATCCGCCCGGCGCGGCCATGCCTACCGCGAGCAAGACGAGGACACTCGCCCTCCCAAGCCACACCACCAAGTCCGTCAAGTCGCCAGCGCCACCCGCGCCCGCCACGATAGCCGGCGATGGCGGCATGGACCTCGCAGAGCAGATGAACGACCGGGTACGGAGCCAGTTCGTCATGGGCCCACGATTAGGAGAGGGTACCTACGCCGTCGTATACCAAGCGCACTACCGCGACAACCCCAAGCACATTGTCGCCATCAAGAAGATCAAATACAACGCCGAGTACCCTAACGGTATCGCCCCCGATGCCATCCGCGAAATGCAATTCCTCTTCGAAATGTCGCACCCCAACGTCATCAAACTCCACGACGTCTTCTCCACCAAAGAACAAAACCTCTCCCTAGTCCTCGAGCACCTTCCCCTCGGCGACCTGGAGAAGCTCTGGAAAAACAAAGAAATTACATACACAAAAGCAGATATCAAGTCCTGGATGAACATGCTCTGCCAGGGCATATGGTTCTGCCACGAAAACTTCGTCCTCCACCGCGATATCAAAGGCAGTAACGCCCTCATCGCCGCAGACGGCACCATCAAAATCGCCGATTTCGGTCTCGCACGCAGCTTCGCTGATCCAGGCGTCAAAATGACTACCATGGTCATAACGCGCATGTACCGGCCCCTCGAGCTTCTCTACGGCTGCTCGCACTACAGCGGAACAGCAGACATGTGGAGCATAGGCGTTCTCATGGCCGAACTCTGTAAGCGCGACTGGTTCCTATATTCCGACACGGACATGCGCCAGGTCGCCGTCATCTGCGAGAAATTCGGGACCCCGACGGAGGAGACGTGGCCCGGTGTCACGGCTTTACCTTATTACGTCGCCCCCGATAAACAGACGGGGCCGCAGGGTACCACGGCGTTCAGACAGACCCGCCCGCGTAGCTGGTGGAAGCAAGAGTTCCCCACCCTCGGAGATGATGGGTGCGATTTTATTAGGGGCCTGTTGACGCTGGATCCGCAGAAGAGGTATACGGCCAGGAAGGCACTCGAGGATAAGTGGTGGACTAATGCGCCGCGCCCGACTAAGAAGGAGAATTTACCAAAGGAAGGTGGGGGTACGAAGGCTATGGGCGAGGATTTGAAGCGGAGAGGGGGAGAGACGCCTGCGAATGGTCGCGCTGATAAGGTGGCCAGGAAGCTGGATTTTGGGTCCATGGGTTGATCTAGTGCAGCTCTCTCTCTTTCTCTCGTACATGATTCCAAATTCAAGATCCCTCTTCCAGTCAATTTTCATGGCGTCCATGGCGACATTGCATTTAGCGTTTTTATTTTTGGCACTCATCCAACAGTTAGCTTAGATAATCCATGCTGTATTCGTCTGCCTTCTTGGCATCTCGAATCAGATTCCATTTCAAATCGGGACATCAGTCCCCTCCACCGATCTCTTACATAACAAAAACCAAATAGTTATGCACTCGAGACCCGACTTTGTCTACTCTCCAAACATGTAAATCTTCTTCCCCCATGCTGTTCGATGACAACTAGAAATTACTCAGACCAAAACTTGACCTTTGTGAAACAAGTTCACTGTCAATCACCACATACAAAGCTCGTTGCATCACACGCATTAAGTCATTCTGCAATTTCAATCATAAATGGCATCCATGCGCCTTGCTTTTGTATTCATCTAATCGTCTTCATTCTTATCGTCACATATTCCATATTCCATATCCCTTGTTTACTTGACCAGCTTGCATACAAGGTCGCCAGAGTCGACAGAGTCGCCCTCGCGTACAGACAGTCCACTAACCTTTCCAGAGTGTGGTGCTGAGATGACCATCTCCATCTTCATGGCGCTCAGGATAGCAACAGGGTCACCCTTCTTGACATCGCTGCCATCATGAACACGCACCTCAACCAATACACCAGACATGGGCGAGCCAATCTGGCTGCTGTCGGTGGGATCAGCCTTCGGCCGTGAAACGTTCTCAATGGCTGCGTGCTGGTCCTCAACGGTAACGACACGGGTCTCACCGTTCATCTCGTAAAAGACCTCACGGAGACCAGTCTGCTCAGAGAGCGGGCCAATGGCCAGGAGCTTGAGAATGAGCACCTTACCCTTCTCTAACTCAACGTGGAACTCCTCGCCAATCTCGGGACGGGCCAAGAAGTACCTAGTAGGCAGCACAGAGAGATCTCCGTACTTGGTGGTCCACTTCTTGTAGTCCTCAAAGACCTTGGGGTACATGATGTGGGATGAAACATCACACTCGGTGGCGTCACCCCACTTCGCCTTGAGCTCAGACTTGATCTTGACAATGTCCACGGGCTCAAGATAGAGACCGGGGCGCTTGTCCATCTTCCTGCGGCCACGGAGGGCCTGTGTGCGAAGAGGTTCTGGGAATCCACCGTAGGGTTGACCCATGAGACCCTCGAAGAATTCCAGGACTGACGACGGGAAGTCAAGTTGTTCAGCCTTGGCTAGAACGTCATCGTAGGAGAGCTTGTTAGACACCATAAACTGGGCCAAGTCACCGACAACCTTGGATGTAGGTGTGACCTTGACAATGTCACCAAGCAAGTCGTTGGCCTGCTCATAAGCCTTCTTGGTCTGAGCCCACTGCTCACCAAGACCCTGCTGAGCAGCCTGGAAGATGAGGTTGGTGAGTTGACCTCCGGGAATCTCGTGCTCGTAGACCTCGGGGTCGGGTCCAGTAAGACCAGCCTCAAAGGGTGAGTAGACAAGACGGAGCTGAGCCCAGTAGGCATCGAGGTTGCGGATCATGTGGGCGTCCAGACCGGCGTCGAAATCGGTGCCCTCGAGAGATGCAAGGATGGCTCCAACACTAGGCTGGGAAGTCATACCAGACATGCTGTCGATGGCGGCATCAACGGCGTCAGCACCAGCCTCGGCGCAAGCAACCATGGATGCCACACCAGTACCGGCAGAGTCGTGAGTGTGGACGTGGATAGGAAGGTCGGGGTACTTCTTGCGGATAGTGCCAACCAAAAGACGAGCAGCGCGAGGTTTGAGTACACCAGCCACTGTTGACGTGCGAATTAGTACGTGTTTCAAAGTCGGTAAACCGATATGACTTACTGTCCTTGATACCAAGAATGTGGGCGCCCATCTTGACAATCTTCTCAACGACGTCCAAGTAGTACTCCAAGTTGTACTTTTTCTTAGGGTTCAACACTAAAATGCAGAGTTAGCATAGTCTAATTTGGTTTCAAATAATGGCCACTCACTGTCACCACTGATGCAGACTGTCGCTTCAGCAACACCGCCAGCCTTGAGAACAGCCTTGACACCAACTTCGAGCTGCTCAACATC